TTTTTTTTTTTTTTTTTTTTTTTTTTTTTTTCGAAACCATTCAAGGCTGACGAGGGATGCACCGTGCTCCAGTCGTAGTATCTCAAATAAATTAACCCATAATATAGCGCCGGTCTCGGAACACTTTGCGAGGTTTAGTTTTCATAGGAAGCTACTCAGAATTAGAGCATAGCACATGACATCATTGAAGACCATTGTAAACTCGTTTCTCCCCTTACAGACTGGATGTACTCACCTTGTATCCAAATATTACCCTATACACAATCCATCGATCTAGACAAATGACAAATAGAATAGAAAGAAGAGAGAAAGAAAAAGAGAGCCAAAAAAATAATAAAAATAGAAAAAGGAAAAATCAAAACAGACACCGAGAGAAAGGTACGCATGTACAGAGTAATGGTAGAAGAGACGATGGTCATTAGTTTGCTCTCTAGTGGATACTATAGGGTAAGCAAAGGTCAAGATTATTCCCTACGCGGAGCAATACCTATTTGCAGATCGACCCCTGGTCCTTCCGTTCCGATCCATTGGTCCACCTGGTGCGCACGACCTTTCCCAGCAGTGCGGAAGGTGTGAGACTACAGGCTTTAGTCAGGGGACTATGAGCAAGAGCGTATGTACGTGTCTGAATTGGGATGGAGATCAATATCTATTGGAACTTGCAGTTGTATATCTATGCACGATATGATCTGGAAGGATGCGTCTCTTTCTCGATCATATCAAGAGGTTTTATTGTTCTTTAAAATATATCGGGTTGAAAGAGATCTTGGTGCCCTCCATTTGCTGATATAGCCATCTACTTCCTTACCAACTCGCCATGATAGTTCCAGGAAATACTAACGGATTGTCCATGCACGCTAACTAGTGGTGTTGATTTCATTTCCATGGGTCCTGTCAATGCTTTAGCCCTCCCGAATTCGCGGTTCTTCCCGCAACCAAGAAAAAAAAAAGATACTTTTGTTTTTCCATCTGATTTAGTAATAAAATATCTCATAGTAAAGAAAATAATTGACGGTTCATTGACTGCCACCGATCCTTTCGCCTCACTCTGGGATTTCCATAGTCTACTTTAATTTCTTTAATTTTTTTTAATCTTACTTTTTATTTATTTATTTATTTATTCTTTTTTTCCAATTTCTCCCTCTTCGGTCTGGTCAGCTTTGCCACCAAATCAACAAACTCATTCCGATAGTATGGTTCGTCAGTCGCTCACGATCATCCAACAACATCATCGTCATCATATAACCTTTCGGAAACCCACTTAGGGAAACCGGTGTCTCGGAGCTCTAGGACATTGGATCGAGGAGAATTTGGAATGATTGATAGACATTGGGTTAGCTCGATGGGGCTAATTCGGTCCCATGGAACTGGTCACCAACCTTATCGGACCCCACGGCGCAAGGCACTAAGCAAAAGGTCCCAGAGAATTAGAGTCCCTAAGCTCTCAGGTGCCTTACTGCTGGATCCTCTTTCCCTTATCCTCAGCCAAGATCCCCGATTAGCTCCGCCCTCCTGCCCATGTGGAGATGTATTAGGTTTTTTTTTTTTTGTCTTTTTTCCTTTCTTCCCAAAAAATCCCCGGGCTGTAGCCTGTACGAAGTACCTCGTACACTTTCGTAATAATGATGCTGGTGAGAAACATGGTGCATATAGTGGAGGCGCCGGGGGATGTGCTATATCCACCACTTCCCAGCTGAATGGTCCGTCAAAATGAATGAAAGATCAGGGGAAATGGGAAAGAGATCCGGTTGCCCCAGTCAGAAGAGGGGCACTCGATGTGATGAGAAAGAGCATGAGAGATCCTATACTCCGTACCATCCGAGGGATTAACTAAAATGAAGCTCATACCCTGAGTCCCATGATGACGCTTGGAGACTAAGGTGAAGAAAAAAAAATGAAAAAAATAAAAATACCAGTCAGTCATTCGCATTTGGAGTCCATTTTAGCCTTCTTTTCTTTTTCCATCCTCACACACTCACCTTATTTTTCAATTTTCCAGATTCTTTTTTTTTTCCCTTCCTTTCTGTTATTTATATTTCATTTTTGGCTTCTTTTTCTTTTTCTTTAGTTTCCTAGATTAGAGGTCCCCGCTCTTCCTTTTTTTTTTTATTCTAATTTTTAATTATTCTTATGTATTTTAATTTCCTTTTGCAGAGTCTCCCCGCGAGGATATCCACAAACCGTGTAAAACGAGTCGGACAAGAAGATGATACTTACGCCTCCGCGTGCCATTGTCTGCTTGCCCTCGATCCTGGCGAGTTGATCGTCCAGCTGCAGTGTCTCTGGACAATTTCCCTGAAGATCAACCGGATTTTTTCAGCGGTCAGGTTGGGTGATCGTATAAGTAATCGGAGACTCCCATCCATGTCCCTCCAGGTTTCCCCCCCCCCACTCTCCCCTCTTCCTTGTTGGTGATGATTGTTTCCCAATAGAAATTTGGGCTGCAATTCGGAGCATAAGTTATTGGATCTTACGGTCTTTGCTAGAAGCAATCCCGAACTCATACCCCATTCTTATTCTTACCCAGAATCCATTTGATTGTATTTGTCTTTATTCTTATTCATTTATTTATTATTATTATTATTATTATTATTTTTTTACAACCCACCCCCCTTCCCAATTACTTTAACCCCTTTCCATTGACCAGAATCTTACCCAAGGTTCCTCCTCTTTTATTTCCATAGATTTCCCTTCAAGAGTTGTTGTGCGCCCCGAGTTTAATTTGTCCGCGCATTTGCCGTTGGCGTTCGTTTGAGTTTGATACCCTGCAAGGTGCGCAAGTAGTTTAAATCTTTCCCTTGTTCCCCTGCGCAAGTTTCTTGTTCATTTGTCTCCCTCTCAGAAGTCCACCGACGGCTGACTTTTCCCCTTGTGACGGTGTCTAGACTTGAGTGTGCGCTGGTAGTAACCGAGTTCTTGTACAAAGTGAAACCGTGAGACCTTTGCGCGCTTAGATCTCGAACCCTGTTGGGTTAATAAGAAAAGAAAAGAAAAGAAAAGAAAAGAAAAGAAAAGAAAAGAGAAACAAGAGACATACAACCTTAGATTCCGACTCAAGAATAGGCGCAAACTCCGTTCCCCTTCACCTCCGCCAAGCTGGCATCATACGCGAGCCCTCCTCTTTCCCCTCCGGCGCATTGGTCCCTTGACGTTGATCCACCGTGTAGGGACTCTTTGTGGGACCGGTTGGGTGGTATGGATGGTGATACCCGGCGCATGAAGCAGTATGATCAACCTCGCTTTGCAACAAGGCCGGGAATGTCCCGTCGTGCAGTTGCAGGAACGGACCGATACAGACAATCCGGCTTACAATCAACACGTGGAGATGCACTGTCACAAGCAGCGGGACGGCCACGAATGCCGACGTACTTGGACTATGGATACACAGACCCGACCTTTCACGGCGGTTCATTGCAGGGGGACGAATTGCAACCGTTCCCTTCGTTGCGCGACCAGCAGCGTCAACCGCAACCGCAACCGCAGCAACAGCAACAGCAACTACAACAACCTTTCGCTCCCTATGAGCCTGAGATGGTTTACAGCATCAGCCCGCAAGGCCCTGCGCAAGCCCCTTATGAGGTCGTGACACCATACTCAGCTCGGCCGTCTGCAGCCATCGATGACCTCTCCGGTCAATTTCCCGTTCCACAGTATTTCCCTCCAAACGAACCGACTGGTGCTGGTGTTCCGGCCGTGGGTGTGCCTTACCTAACCTCTGTCCCTACTTATAACCAGCCAGGTCCCATTGGACGCCCAACCAGCTCCCAGCCCTTTCCCACCACCATGACCGACATGCCTCCTGGGGGGACAACCGGACGATTCGACTCGTCATCGTCGCAGCAGCAACAAGCATCGTCCCAGGTTATACCTGAACCAACGACTTTGACTGACGCATACGGTCAGTTTCAACGAGCGCTGCGAGGTACCTTGGACAATGCGCGCACTGGGCGATTGGAGGAAGCTAGTCAATCCCTTTTGGAAATCTCCGAGTGGCTTGTGACCAATGCCCGGGAACTCGGTATGTGCATGCATGGATACTACTTCCTCTCTTACCGGACTCGCTCTCCCAACGTTTCCCTTCCCTCTCCTTCTCCATTTGTTTAGATCTGGACTTTTATCTTACTACGATAATCATACTTCTTTCAAGACCACATTTGGAGTACTGTGAAGGCTAATCTGAGCATCCGGGGCGGGCTGCATAAGTAGGTATTCTCCGCGACGATCAAGTGGTCTATGCCGACCGTTTGCAACTCTGGAATGATTTCAATCTTTGCTGGCTGGCGGTATGTCAAAAACAGAAGGACCTGTTGCAAGATGTGTTGCGAACACGTCGTCAGCCGCCACATACCTCTCTCCTGAATGATGATGTGATGGATAATTTAGGGAAGGAATTGATTCAGCTGTGTGATCGCGTGGAACAGTTTGGCTTAGTGGACTATCAGATGGGGATCTGGGAAGAGGAGATCCTTGGTGGTAAGCAGTCCTCAGCCGGTCGCTTGACTGTTAGGATATGTTCAGGTTTGCTAAGAGTAACGTCCAGTCCTGGGCCAATGTCTTGATCTCTACGAAAGCCTACCGGAGGTGCTTCGCGCCCACATGGGCACTGCGCCCGCTATTGTTGGATCTCGATCGTGAGAAAAATCCCCGCCACACTATACGGAGGCTGTAATGACGCGCCGCGCCTGGTGCGATCTAACGCAGGGCCTAAATTAGGCCCTGGAAGGTCGGCGACCATCACGAACTATCGAGTCATCGACTGCTAGATAGACTTTTGGTGATACATGCTTGCGCCGGTCCTTTGTCGATTTCTTTCGAGGTCGCGCCGTCTCCCCTACCCCTTTTCGTTTTGGCAGAATTAGGCTAAATGGGATTCATGAAGTCCACGCCACCAATTTTCCACTTGGGGCTATTTGGAATTCCCGATCGCTGGCGATCCATCTGATCGCAATGCCCCACCGTTCACGCTCTTCATGCCCTGAGGGATGCACTTGTGCTCTTAGGACTCTGAAAGAGAAGGATACATGAAAGAAAAGAAAGGAGACAAGGAAATCATCGGAGTTCCGGGTCTTTCTGGCATGGTGTTTGATTGGATGTACATATATACCACGGGTTGGCATTATGATTGGTGTAGAAAAAGGTTGGCAACGGAGTCCTTCGATTGGTTATGATTAAAGACGGTGCTATAGAACGGGGTTGGATTTGCCTATTGTCCACCAGGTGGGCGACATTTAATACGTGACGATAAAAAAAAGAGCCATATATCTGAGATACCAAAACCCCGCACAGAATATTCTTGTTCGTGACGTGCACCAAGCAATCCTGGATCTAGCCCTAACTCCCAACTTCAATTCTCTATCATGACGGATCCTAATGTTCCTACACCACCTACAGCTGGTGAATTTGAGGTTAGCGGCACCATACTATCGGTATTAAGTCTGTGTGTATGAGTCTATTCGGTCCATCCTTTCCTTACCCTAACAACTCACCTCTTCTTCTTTTCTCCATCAACTATAACTTTCGCCGATCAGTTAAAAAGTTAGACGTCATAACAGAAAGGCAATCTGAGGTATTCGTCCCGAGGGGGCGGTACAGTATCTGCTGAACTCAGATCGACAAGAACTATTGAGTGGAAAGGATCCCGCGATCGTCATCTCCGCCATGTCCGTGGGACTTCTCCCATCCATTGAATCCTCACAAAACTGATCTACAATCCACACGTTCCATACCAATCGTCGCGACTATTTCCCAATCAATCTACTTCTAACTGCTTTCAGGCAACGCCACTTCACCACCTGCATCAATCCTAGAAACTCTCTTCTTTGGCCAAACTTACCAACATCCGATGTGTCGGGTCAAAGATAGTGGTTGTTTTCTCGCTATCGATTACATCTACTGGTACATGTCGATTAACCTTCTGTAGACGATACGTATCGTCTTTTTTTTTTTTTAATTTCAAGCGATGGCTGTATTCCTTTGGCATTGTAAAAGATCCTTCCCACCTTGGCGGTTCGACCAACCTGATGTTAGCACTTTAGCAGAGGCTTTGATAATATGATATGTCAAGACACCATCCTATAGGGATTTATATTCAGTAATAGTCTAGTCTTGATACTAATGACTCCCCAACTAGACACCAAACAAACACAAAATAATCTATAGGAGAGAGGACTTCAGAAACGCCATAGTTCCAACCCAGCCACTAAACTAGTAAAAATAGTGTTGTGGCGCAGTCTTCGCGACAAGACCTAAAACCGAGGCGAGGAGATTCCCGATGCCACTCGGTAAGCATGATGTATATACCATATACTACTAGAAGTATTACATGGAGAGAAATCTTCTGGAATTTGTCTAAGGGAGAACGGGATCACTGCCTCTTAGATAGTCTCGGGTGTTTCATGTCGTTTCATTGGGTGATGGGATTATCTTAGGCTTGTGGGATTCTTCGTAGGGCATTTTTGATTGGGAGATGGTCATGGGCTGTGAGGAGGTCTGCTACTACCGAAGGATTTGCGGAAGCTAAAGGTCTCTGCAGTTGGATCTTAGCGAAAGGGCTTGACCTATAGTACCCGTGCGACTTCAAATGGGATGGAGAGAATCGGAAGACGCTAGGATCTCCGCCAAACGATACATCGGAGCTGTCCACTGTTTAGCTTGGGGTACTACTCAAGGAAAGGATGTATTATATAGTAGGGGGGAGTATTTTAACCATTTCAGTGGAGTCAAAAGTACCATCATTCTCTTCGAAGTTCGATCTGCTAATTGAATTTACTTTCCATACTTCGTACATCAACTTACTTCCTTTGGTGTAGTGGATCAATTGGAATCCAATACGATTGGAGTGTCTCCATGGGGAGACTCCACTATCTACTTTCCTTGCAGCGAATGACCGGTGATCCTACCATGACTTGCAAAGTAAAAAAACCGGGGTCGATTTAAATTTCCTTGCCCGATATTGGATCCACATCTTGATATGCCGGCAAAAGTACCACATATGTACTCCGTATGTGTACATGCACTAGTCAATGTCGAAGGAGGAAAATTCATCCATGAAGATTTATGGTCTTGTGCTATATTCATCATTGTCTGTATCTGTACTATGCACGTAGCATGTCTTAAACTACAAGTTGTCATCGCTATCATTATCATATCATGTCGACGAGATCCAATCGACCAGCACATGTCGGCGAGGCTGATAACAAAGAACAAGAAACTCAAACAATCCTACTGCCCAACGCCTAAATCTGGCCTGTAAAATGGTCAGTCCCATGACTTCACCAAAACCTACGGATTAGGGAAAGGGGAAACCAGGAATACATACTCAGCGTCATACTCAAACTGACATCCGTATTCTCCACCATATCCGTAAACTCCTCAAAACTGATCTTTCCATCTTGATCTTTATCCGCCTCCATGATCGTCTTGTCGACGATCTGCTGCAGCTGCACGTCTTTCAGGTTGTTTCCAACCATCATCTTTAATACGATGAACAGTTCTCCGTTAGAGATGTACCCGTCGCGATCGATATCGTAGACCTTGAATGCGAAGCGAAGCTTTTCTTCCTTGTTACCCTTAGACGAGAAGGCCGAGAGACCTGAAACGAATTCTTGGAAGTCGACGTCACCGCCACCGTCTTCGTCGAAGATCGCGATCATTCTTGAATGTGCAAGACAAGTGAGCCAGATTATTCATTCTGATTTCTCCATTGGAAAGGTTCCATGCGTACCTCGTTGCCAGGGGGTTGGATGACACTTGGGGAAGGGAAAGGAATTCATCGCGATCAATTGTACCCGAGCTGTCCTGTAGGATAAGAATGAGTATGTGCGCCTGCTTTACGCTCCACTGCCGTATCGAACCTTATCCAGTTTCATGAATCGCTTGCGGAGTCGGTCAACCTCATCTCTGTCGACTGTCCCGAGATTGACGCGTCAGTGACATGGCAGCAAGGTGAAGATCGAGAGAATATTGAACTCACAGTTGGAAGCGGAGACGATGTTTTCAAATAGTTGCGACGTTCCGACCGAGCCTCTCCGTCTCCGCGCATCGTACAGGGCGGCGTTATTGGGTGCGGAGGAATGTTCCATGATGTTGTTGGTGGTCGGCTGCTGGGGTGACGTTCGGGTAAGTGGTAAGGGAAGTGATAGGAGAGGGCGGAATAAGGGCGACCGGCAGATTAATTAGACAGTACGTATCAGATATAGATTGAACCGGAGATTGGTAGATTGTAGATAAATGGCCAGATAATGACGCGGTGATCGCAACAATGATGGCATGCTAACGAGCACCCGTTCAAGGCAATTTGATATCGACCAGCCCCGCACTAACCGGAAACGGACAGGCAAGCGAACCCCTGAGGCCGTGCGCGCTCCAAAACAGGCGACCGGCGGGTGACATTGCAACGTCAACTCATCCGCCAGCGCGGTTACTACGAGATTTCAATCGTCAATATCTTCCCCACCCCATCAGATATCATCATAAAATTACGACTACGTGATCTCGCATGACCAGGCCTATCGAACCATACTAATTTCATCCCCCTCGGCCCATGGTCCTTACCATTTTCGTCCTCCCAAAGTTCGCATGACTAGGTACGGGGGAATGGGGAGGACGCGCCCTAAAAAGCTCACCTCCAAAGCCTCTATTCCCATAGTCAGGGAGTATGACATCGATGCCATCGAAGAGGAAGTCCAAAATGCCCTACAACAAATTGAAACCGGTGTTGAGAAGGCCGAGGAGTCGGTACGTTGTCCCCCGTCTAATTTTAGCCCATCCCTGCGCATATCACGTGATATCATCCCGACGTCCACCCATCGTGAAAATTTCGCACCGTAGCCAAGAAGCCGCAAAACAGGGTCTGCTAACGCGGCTTTCTACAGGAATTCCATCTTCAAGCTGCTATAAATGCTAGTGCCCAAGGAAAAGTAAATGAGGCCCATATCCCGACCCCAGAGACCGTTCTCAGTAGTCTTCGATATGACGAGCTCTACCCTCCTATCTTCTCGCAACCTGCGACGTACATCCGCTTCTCCTCCACTGTGGAGGACTGTTGTGGATGTCCGTATAACATGACCGAAGAGGATGATGTATTCCTCAAGATCATGAACGAAAAGCGGGATGTCGCTGACCGGTGCACCGAGGACCAATTCGAAGAAGTTATGCACTTCTTCGAGGAGACGGCGCAGACAAAGCAGCCGTTTGCAGCTGTAGATAATCCACCTGTCCTGAGTTTTGCCGAGATTCAGGATGCGATGGATGCGGCCGTAGAGGAAAGCGTAAAGCGATTCGCCAAGGACGTATATGAGCATTGGAAGTCAACGAGGACTGAGACAGGAAATCGATCACTCATGCCAAGCCTTAAGGTAAATTACTTTCCTGTGGCTCACCTGCGAATGGCGAAGATAGCCGCGCTAACACGTTCATACAGTTCGAGACTGGGCAAGAAACCGATGACACAGATCCCTATGTCTGTTTCCGTAGACGCGAAGTCCGTCAGATTCGCAAGACTCGGGGCAGAGATGCTCAGAGTGCCGATAAGCTGAGGCGACTGAGGAAGGAGTTGGAGGATGCTCGGCAATTAGTCGCTCTGGTGCGTCAGCGCGAGCTGGCGAGGAAGGAGATGCTTGCTATTGAACGGCAAGTGTTCTTGCAGCGATCTGAGGTCAAGGAGATGAAGAGGAAACTCAATCTCAAGGATGACGATGAGGATCTCATCAACCAGAAGGTAAGAATTATGCTTGATCGCTTCTGCATCGTTCTGATACTGATCGGTAATAGCCCAAGAAAAAGCCGACCGAAGCGCCAGCTGTGCAGCGACCGGTGGCCCCTCAGCTCCGTATGCCGCCAAAGGCTGGCACCCAGGCTGCGGAGGACCTGCAGTTGCTGGAAGATGTCCAGGCAGAAAAAGAAAACGAAATTCTGCGCGATATAAATCAGAACATCGCCAAGCATATCAAATGGAACGAGGGCTATGTAGACTTCACAAGGGCGCCCCTCTCGCCATCCCCTGAGAGGACTTTCCAGGCTGCGTTCCGCCCGGCAATTACTGCCCAATTGCCGACGCCACCATCCTCAGACTCATCTGAGAACATAATGGATACGACCTTAGATAACCCAGGCTCACTGTCTCTCCGAGACAAGCTAGCACCTCAAACCATGGTAATGAGCGACGACACCAGCAGGATGCCCTCGTTCAGGCGACGCATTGGGCGTGGTGGTCGTTTGTTCATCGATCGTCGAAACCTTGTTTCGCGTTGTAGAGTGGAGCTGGATCCGTGGAAGGCTGATCGCTTCAAGTATGACCAGGAAGATTCAGACGAAGAGCTCGACTTTGAACGAGACCAGTTTGACATCCACATCATGCAGCACCGAGCCATCATGATGGCGAAGGCCCGAGACCAAGCCGCGGCTGCAGCTCAGGCGCATGCGCAGGCGCAAGCCCAGGCTCAGGCGCAAGCGCAGCGGCGATTGCAAGCTGACCAAACGGCCAACAATCCGGGGCCAACCATGGGATCCAACTCTGGGCCTGGTGCCATTGCCCCCACACCTGAGACTTGAGCTGGACTCTGTTCTTCTCCCCCCTCACTCGAATCTTCTTAATTTCCCACACCCATATGTCGCATTTGGCAGGCGTTGCTCTCTGTTTCCCATTTTTTCAAACCCCACTGTAGTTTTACTCCCCCGACGCTTCAAGCTGTCTTTTGTCTTCAACATCCCTTTTAACATCAGTTGCCTGAACGCCGCGACGCTTTCAAAAATTTCAGGATAATGTCGCAGATGGATGCTTTTTCATGACCTGACCCTGGGATTATGCCATGTTAATGTACATATTGTTTCTTTCTTTTCTTTTATTCTCCCAGATGATCAGTCGATAGAGACTTGTACGGATAGTGAAGCTATGAGGTCAGCAACGAAAAAAAAAAATAAGAATTAATATCACTTGTAACAAAAGAGAAACTTTTCTTATCGATGCAAAATAGACAACGCCTTGCAGACCGGTGGGATCAAATCCTCTGGGTCTTCGTTCTCCTCGATGCGTCATTGTCGCCGTTAGCAGCTCGCTTTGAGGTCGTGCTTCCCTCTGAGTTAGCGATGAGCATGTCGAATAAGGTTTGCAGGATTTCCTTCTCGCCAATCCGAACCTGGATTGCCATTTTTTGTCGTCGTGCAGAGTCTTCCAAGGGGATTGTAGTCTCCAACCGGCTCAATTGTGCCAGCAATTCTTTGTCCTGTGTAAGGGTCGTTGGGTACTGGGCTTGCTTTGACTGAACAGCCTTTGAGAGTAGCGTTGCTTCCTTGTGACCAAAAGAAGGCTTCGGGGGTTTGTTCTTTGAAACCTGTTGCTTCAGCTCGTCACTCGACATGCAGAGCACTTTAGCCAAGACAACCAGTTCGTCTGGAAGAACACCTGCCAAATCATCATCCAATGGCCTCGGAATGTCATAACCGTCATCAAGGACTTCCAACTCCTCAAGGAATTGGAGCTACAGTCTCTGGTCAGCATTGTATTTCATAAAGTTATTGGCGAGATTGAAGGTAAATACCACAGGTTGGTTCTCAATATCGGCATTTGCAAGGCCAGCCGCCTGGCAAATAAGCGCCAGTGACAGCTCAACTACATCGTAAGGAGAATAGTTATCGGTCACGTAGCCGTACCTCCTCAGAAGGTCCGCACGGGGGATCTCTCCATAATCATTGAAAATCTCAGCCCCTGCACTGATAGGCTTGATAGCCTTCATTACAAGACCGGCCTCTTCTTGGAAAAGACGAGCCTTGAAATGAATGAGCGTCTATGGCTTGCTAAACGTGAAGGGAGAGAACTCACGTTATTCTGGTCTGCATCGGCATTCAACAAATCTGCCAGAGGAACCATACCCTTGGACAGTTGTTCCTCATCATCAGTCACGAATCCGCTTTCATCATCTCCTTCATCATCCTCATCTTCGGGTTTCTCGATATCGAAGGCGTAAGCCATGATAAGAGAGCCCATCATATGAGCGAGGTTCAGCAGGGCCTGAGTGCCAGCATCGCCATCATACGACGCTAGACCATCCACCGGCGGAAAGAGAGATGGATTGGCTCTCACGACAGGAGCAATCATTTCAAGTATGGATTCTTCTGCACCTTCCTTGCCAATTCTATCGACGATTGCGCTACCCTGAAGCTCCTGAAGCTCTGAAGGCGACCAAAACATTAGGCTATCAAATTTTCGGGGAAGGACCTTGAAGTATGATGCCCAGGCCGAGTTATCCCCGAGAAGATACTCGTAGATCATGACCAGCATAAGGGACAGCCATGGCCCCAGCTCCTCCACATCCTGGGAGAGCAGATCCTTCAATTTTGAATTCTGAGTTGAGAGGACGTGTTCGCGGGGAATCGTAAAAAGTTCTTCACCCTCGGCAATATCGGATTGCGCCACTAGTGCATTGATATATGTCTATCAGAGACGAGATTCCATGAAATACAATTCTGGGCGCGGCGGAAAACCGAAGTGGGCGAAATTCTTCTTGGAATGATCACGTACCGACACCTCTGCCCGCCGCTCTGGATCTCAAATCAGCAAGGCGAATCTTAGGGTTGACCTTCACCCCGGGCTTACCAGACAGCCAAGAGATAAACTCGTCTGACTGAGACTGGAAATTCACCGGATCGAGAAAATGGACTGTGGAAGACATGGTGCCTTTGACGAGGAAGAGTAGTGGAGTAGGTAGAAGAGCACACCAAAGAAAAACGGGAATACAAGAAAGACAGAGGGCCCCACTCTTTTTCTCGGTCACACGGAGGAAAGGGACAGTCAAAAGGAGGGGGGGTAAGAGAGTAAGATCAGAGGATTGAGAGAAGCCCAGACAGGGCAGGATGAGCAACGAAGTAAATCGTCCACGGTTGTGTGTGTGCGTGTGTGAAGGGACAGTCACCAAGTGGGTTGGTTTTGGGGTGGGTGGGTGAGCTGTAGTTTAGTACGTACGGAGTAGTTCCATAGTAGACACGCCGTACCACTGGATGTATACCGTCGGATAAACGCTGCAGCGGACATTACCGCCTTTCAAGCGCACCAATCGATAACGTTGCTGATAAAAAAAAGATCGATTTTGCCCCTCTGCATATCAATGCAAAATACACTCACTCATTGTAAACCCCCTCCACACTGTTCTTGTTTTGTGTTGTTGCCCTTGGATATTCATTACGATAAGAAATTACTGTTCGATCTAATTTCCCCCCCTCCTTCGATCATGATCGCTATCGGCCTGGAGGGCTCCGCCAACAAGCTTGGCGTGGGCATCATGTTGCATCCTGATAATGGCAAACCCCCGCAGGTACTCGCGAACATCCGTCACACTTATGTCTCCCCCCCGGGTGAGGGTTTCCTCCCTAAAGACACCGCTAGGCATCATCGCGCTTGGGTGGTAAAGCTAGTGAAAAAAGCGCTCAAGGAAGCTCGTGTGTCCGTCCAGGATGTGGATTGTATTTGTTTCACCAAGGGCCCTGGTATGGGAGCTCCCCTTCAGAGCGTTGCGGTTGCGGCTCGGATGTTGAGTCTATTATGGGGCAAGGAGTTGGTCGGTGTAAATCATTGTGTCGGACGTACGTATAGCCCTAATGCCTATTTCTATACCCCCTTCTTCTAGCACTCGTGCATAAATCTGTTACATACTTCTTCGGTGCCCATGGCGCTAACGTTACCTAGATATCGAGATGGGTAGACTCATTACAGGCTCTACCAATCCAGTTGTACTCTATGTTTCCGGAGGAAACACACAAGTAATTGCATATAGCTCGCAAAGGTACCGGATCTTCGGCGAGACTCTTGATATTGCGGTGGGTAACTGCTTGGACCGGTTCGCACGAACGCTACACATTTCCAATGACCCGGCTCCGGGATATAATATTGAACAGTTAGCCAAAAAGGGCAAGCAGTTAGTTGATCTACCATACACTGTAAAGGGAATGGACTGCTCCTTCTCTGGTATCTTAGCCGCAGTGGATGGCTTGGCCGCGACATATGGACTAGGTGGTGAAGGGAAGGGTGATGAGACCGATACACCTATACCTGATGCTGATGGTAATGGGAAACCCACCCGCGCGGACTTGTGCTTTTCACTCCAAGAGACTATCTTCTCCATGCTTGTTGAAATTACGGAACGCGCAATGGCACACGTCGGCTCCAAAGAAGTTCTGATTGTCGGTGGTGTCGGTTGCAATGAGAGGTTACAGGAGATGATGGGGATCATGGCCCGAGACCGCGGAGGTAGCGTCCATGCCACAGACGAAAGATTCTGTATCGATAATGGAATCATGATCGCGCAAGCTGGTTTGCTCGCGTACTCGACTGGATTCCGCACGCCATTAAAGGATTCCACATGTACGCAGCGGTTCCGAACGGATGACGTGTTCGTAAAGTGGAGGGATTAATATGCCGATTTATTTAACGGGACCCCATGCACTGGATAAAATAAGATAGACTTACGAATTACCATGAATACATTGACTTCCACGTGTTTTACGTTACTTCTTATGTTCATGGAGACCGCGGTAATGCAGTAGTTGTAGTATAATGCTGTGAGATTTATATTTGAAGAGTTTAGGTAGCCATGGGAGCATCGGGTTATCCCTCAGCCAATGACCCGGGCAGAAGAAGTGGTATGTGATAGTATATGATTCATAGATGACGCAGCATCACTCTAGACCGTATTGGATTTGACTAATGCTAGTATACATTAGGCATTTGAGGTATAGCCAAGAAGCACTGGAGCACATACGACACAGTCGCATGGCGAGCAGAAAGGGGAAAGACAAGACATGTTGTTAAAGTTCTTATCGCTAATGATGCATCCCAAGAAACTCCGGAAGAAATGGTGATTCAAAGCGCCTTCAATGAAATGAGTAGTCAAACAACTCCTGCCTAACATTCAGCCCATTAACAAGCGCCTAAAAGCTATATGCCTGGCTTCCGATGTATGTGCGTTTGTTGGAAAAAGAAAAGGGACGGTGGGTTGGGGGGAGACATCCCATATACGTGGACAGCCATTAAGTCCCAAGGATATATTGATTCTGTTAGAAAGCATTCCTCAGATGTTTCAAAGACGAATTGGATCACGGAGCCAGCAGAGATTCATTAGGCGAAGAACGTTTATCAAGGTCTTGTCTAGCTAAGGAGTAATGTACCGCTCCTAACCGAACAAGGGATATGCAGTGGCGTCTTGTGTGTTTATATCTATCCCGCGATATCCCCGGTTGGCTTATACAAAATTGTCGTTACGTACTGTGATTGTACGTCTTAGTAACATTGGCACCAGAGATTGTTCGATGGAGTGACTCACCTTGCGTTTATATCTGGTTGTTGCGCTGGTAGCAAGGACACCATTTTTGATACTGCTCGTCGCCAGATGATTCAAAACAGTATGGTTGGGATAGTTCAGCACGCTGCTATCGTCCTTCATTGGCGTAGTGCCGTTTAATATCGACTTCCCCAGGAACAAGGGAAGACTTGGCGGCGTAGGTGCATCGCCAATCACATTGACAGCTTGTTGGTAAGCTGGGCTCTCTTGTGTTTCGTCTTCTCTGTCTAAATCAACAAGAAACTGCGGGATTATACGACGGAAGTCTCCTTGGGGGATCTCTTCCAGCTCGTCCGGTTGATCTTCGACGGCTGATCCGGATCCAACCTGGTCCGACCCAACTCGAGTAGGGAGGACTTGCGGAGGGTGGACTCCGGGAGGAACGTTGCTTTGAGATGTTTTATCGCTCCCGCTCCGTGACCGATTAGTGTCGTCGGCGCTTATTTCGATGTAATTAACGAGGTGGTTGGTAAAGTCTACTGCAGTGGGAAGACTGTCCGACGCGCGCATCTCACCGTCTACAATGAATTTTAGGTGGTGTGTTCCAGGGCGGAGATTTAATCTCGTTGACATAACACCGGGGTTACTTTCACTGCTTACCCAAGTGTTGTGTTAGCGGGGGAGCTTGATAAAGGCCAGACGATGTGGTCTTGCGGGTCCAACAACAAGCAATGGAAACGGATATTACAAATAGTATCGCATACCTTCTGTGTAGACGGAACTTTTTCTCCCAGTTGACGAAGGTTCCAGTGACATAAACCTTGTCGCCAGGAGCAGTCCATTCTATAATCGTGGGGACAGGCCTGCCTACACCACTGCTTGTATACGGCTCCAGCTCTTCCAAAACTTCTTCATCTTCGACGGCAGCATCGCCCAGGTTTGGATCTCCCAGACCTGTCTGTTCATCAAGCAATCGATCCGAGGGAGGCGACCCCATATAAGGTGAACCTGGCGTCGCCGTGGCATCACCAATTGGTAGAGGCAATCGAGGTGGCCGCTGGAGATGGGCAGATGCGCTGTAGTAGGCATTGTGAGGTGGACCAGAAGGCGCTACAGATGTATAGTGATCGTGCCTAGCGCTAGTTCGTGAAGTCGGTACCTGGACGGGGTTTGACGGATCGAGGGAGGGTATTTCTTTGTAGTGAGAATCTATTCTCTTAGATTCAGGCGCATTCCGCGTCGCTGAGTCTGGGACATTGCGCGATTGAAGACGCTGTTGAACCGATGCCTGATTTTGCGAAGCTGAATGGCCAGTTGCAGTCTCTTTAGATGCAGAGGGATCAGCGGCAGTGGCTTTTGCTGTGCCTGATGGAGCATTGAGCGATGGTCGGCGAGTCACTTTCTTGTCACCCGCAGAACCCGCATGGGTCGAGTGACCCGAAGTCGACGGGACATCTCCGGCGGGGCCCTTGGAAGGGTTGTTACCCATTAGAGGCGTCGAATAGCGAAGATGTGGGGGACAGATATAAGTGGAGGGGAGGAGGGGAAAGAAGTTCGAGACGAGATGGACGTTATGTAGATCGGGTCGTTAGCATTAGATCGCGGTCCGCGACCGGCAATGTGGGGAACGCAAATAGGGAAGGCGAACTAGAAGGACTCCGAAAAATATCAAGCGTGATTTAGTGCCCAAAAAGGTACTGACAATGTAAATATAGTCCACATAAAACGGAGCTGAACATCGAGTGAAGTAGCGATGGTGTCGATGTCGGCGACCCCAGAGTCTGGGCCAACTTATCAATTAGGGCTTAGGGCTCCCGCCGGATAGTCGGCAGCTATCTCCGATCACCGGAAGTCCCCTGTATCATGGTATCAGTAACATAGTAGTCATTGTTAGTCCTCATGTTTCTTTCCTGTATAGCTCAAAAGTAGTATCTTCAAACACTGTCCATATTTCCGAGGTTGCATGAAACCGTAAAAGGCCACCAGCTCGTTCAAGCAAGAATTCTTATCTATATGATTCTGCCGGAGGCTACCGCCTAAGGAAGCTTATGTATCGACGAGGAATGATGAGGATCAATTAACATTCATTCATCATTCTTCTTCCATAGAGTTTGGTATTGTCGCATAAAGAATTGCCCTACGTAATGAAGAGCTCTTTTTGGTAGCTAATAATATCTTACGGCGCATCAATGTCCTGGATCTCCGCGATAACGACAGTGTCGCAATGGATACTCCTATATCCTGTTACCTTTCTCATATACTACGGATATGGAATCTTGCAACTATTGGTAACGCCATTGGTGAAACTAGGACAATTCGCTCTTCACTGCACCCTTTGGCCCTTCAATATAATTTTGAAATTTGAGGTACGGAAGTATTTAAATTGTATCTCCCATCAAAGAACAACTTGCTTGAGTCCAATACCCCAAATGGGGATGGTTGTTGACATTCTTACAGGCTTTTTTGACCTTTGTTTTGGCAGCCATACTCACTGGGGCATCACTGGGGCTGCTATTGTACTATACGAGTTCCTTTATTGTGGAAATTTTGAACCAGTCCCTGGGGCTAACTTACCCTTTACCTCGTCAACCCCAAGCTTATCAGGCCGGCGCCATCAAGAGACCGAAGAGAAACGCTCTGGAAAGAAGATATAGTCCGCTCAATGAATACCTGGCCGGCAGCGGTAGACAAATCAAAAAGAGTGGGCTTCTGTCTTCCACGATCTTGGAGGAGGAAGAATCCAATCAGGATTCAAATGGGGATCTCTATGACTGACCAGGAGAGGCAAGAGAGATGCCTATGTATGTATCTTAACATGCCCTTCATAATCTTGGGGGAGGGGAGCGGTTGTTTATAAATCACATCAATCTGCCATGTAGAATCAACAATTTAAGTTAGCAGTTTACTACTACTCGTAGGCCCTTAAAAAGTGACAGCCGGTGGTATCGGGAATTACCAGACCCTATCGATAACAACTGGATCCTTTCCCCGCGGACATGATAAATACCCAGTACCGGGCGGTCAAAAATACCACAATTTCCATGACGGAGTACACGTGGGTCCTCACGCATGGATCAATAAACCCTGGGATTTTATTAGCTTGGGTTGAGTTAAATTAAATCGTTGTTTCCTCATGACTTCGTATTTTCATTCGCGCGCTTCTCTAACCTTCAAATTCTTCTCGACGTCCCCTTCCGCGTAACCTTCGTCCTGGTCTCTCTGAGTCAATTATATCATCAATCATCGTTACATACTCGCGGGCGATCTGTCTCCGATGCGCTGACGGGCTCACTCCAATACGTCAGCTTGCAGCAATTTCCGATCCTCCTCCTGAATCGAACATATATCATTGGAAGAACTCGGAATCGACATCGACGTTTGCTCCAGGTTCCAGCGAAAGGTTGTCGATCTCATAGAGGAAAGGAGGATAATAATCAAGTCACACGCACACCGTGGAGAAAAGGGAACCCAGAAAGCAGACAAAGAGAGGGAGGAGGTGAAATGGTTTTGCCTCGACCCTTTTCACGGGTGCGGACACTGCTGTTGGCGGCTGCACTCGCAGCTTTCCTCACATATTCTTTCTTGCGCTGGCAGCGCGTTTCCTATGCAGAACAAGTACAAGCCGCAGCTAAAGAGGCAGTATCATCCAAGGCACAGGCCGTAGTATTAACTAAGCCGGAAGGTCATATCGGCTTCTGGCGTCAATTTCAGCCTCTTCTGGCTGCCTACCAGCCAAAATGTGAACCCCCACTTCGACTGGATAACGCGCCGTCGATTAGGTTTGAGCAAGCGAGCCCTGACTTCCGGCCTGAGGCACTGGACATGCTGGACGATCACGTTGATACCATGAAGCAAGCTCATACTGGGTTTGTTGAGGAGATTAAGGCGAAGCCACCCATGCTGCACTATGTCCCCAACACTAGAGGATTAGTTTCGACCGCTGGCGGCGAATACTTACCCGTGTTGGTCATCTCGCTTCGAATGCTTCGGAGGACAGGCTCAGAACTGCCACTCGAGGTATTCCTTGCCAATGAGAATGAGTATGAGAGATATATATGCGATGTGGTTCTTCCGTCTCTCAATGCACGATGCGTGGTACTTTCCCATATTTTGGATGCCGTTCCAAAGGTCATGGATATCCAGAAATACCAGTTCAAACTGTTCGCCATGATGTTCTCTTCTTTTGAGGAAATTTTGTTCCTAGATGCCGACGCATTCCCGCTACATCAACCAGAAATACTCTTCATGAACGAACCTTTCAAGTCAAAGAAAATGGTTACGTGGCCAGACTTTTGGGCGACCACAGTCTCGTCATATTATTACGAGATATCATCCCAACCAATGCCTTCAAATACCATTCGGCAATCCAGTGAATCTGGCGAAGTGCTCCTTTCCAAGAAGACCCACATGCACACACTCCTTCTCAGTGTTTATTATAACTTCTGGGGTCCCGATTATTACTACCCACTCTTGTCTCAAGGTGCATCTGGTGAGGGTGATAAGGAAACGTTCGTTGCAGCTGCTCTCGCTCTCGGGGAATCATACTATCAGGTTTCTGAGCCCATTTGCGCCATTGGTCACGGCACCGAGGGCGGCTTGGCTGGCTCCGCAATGGTCCAGTTTGATCCAGTTGAGGATTACGCCTTGACACAAAAAGGAGAATGGCGTGTTCATGGATCAAAGGCCCCTGCTCCTCGTGCCTTCTTTATCCATGCTAATTTCCCAAAGTTCAACCCAGCTACAGTGTTCGATAAGCAAGCCGTCAACCCGGCTTTCGCCGATGACGGTAGCTACACACGCGCATGGACAATTCCTCAAGAAGTAATTGGAAAGTTTAGCACGGATGTCGAAAAGTATTTCTGGAAAGAAATTCTCTGGACAGGCTGCGAACTCGAGAGTAAATTCAGTTCCTGGAAGGGTCGCAAGGGCATCTGCGCAGGAGTGAAAAAGTACTGGAATGCAATATACGTGGACAAGAAGTCTCCAAAGCTTTAAGCAGGCTGAGACATCCTAGCTTGAGCGAAATTTGCGTTGGTGCCTTCATCATGTCACTGCGGCGTACTTCATTCGTGGTGAACAAATGTATCACGGGACGTGTTCCAGGACATGTTAGTGTTCGCGCTGGCGATAGGAACACTGCATTTTTGTCCTGGACGACATCGCATCCTTTGCCCTCACTTCCCGTCATTGTTTGGCCGGGTCGAGTTGAGAAGACCCCCACGAACATAGTGGGCGTAGAAACGTTGCCTCGGAATGAACGTATCATTTCGAAGACAACTGGTACCTCTATTATGAAACGTGATGGCACCTCAAAACATACAAAGCGTGGGATACCTTCCGAGCAGCTCCCAGCTTAGAGGACTCGGACCAGTTCGTGGAAGGTTGATGCATGGCATGCCCACTACTATGTCTGCTAAGAAGTAGCTAAGTTTTTAACTTGCATAGGCTACCCAGGCATAAACTAATGACTTTATCATAAGCTTGTATGCATGTATTAGCGTCAATCATTTGGATCGATAGCACATATTTTCTGCGGTACGTTAATTAATATTATTATTCAATTCTACGGTCTGTATATATAGCAGCACTGCAGTACTACTATGCATGGCTCATCGAGCCTGCAAGAATTAGCCAGGGCCAGGGCCTTATTCTTCTAGATCTGACAGAAAGTTAAATGTGACAGACACGGTTCTACATAAATAAGGGCTGGTGGCTATCTCTTTAGTATGTAAAAGGTAGAGAGGAGAAGTCTGCAGGATCTTATTGTATCATGTTCTCTAGTCATACATTATCTATATAATTTACAAGGGTTGACTTTTTGCACGGATTATAATACATATAGACCAAGATAGTAAGTAACTCTTACATCCTAAGGCCTGATCTCGATTCCGGACTTATCAGCCTTCTTGACTGCCTCCTCAAACAGTTCCTTGCACCGCACTCGGCTGCCTAGTTTGGCACACAGCAAGAAAGCACCGCTGAGTTTCCGGTGAAGACTATATGTCTCCTCCGGCGGAGGCGACAAGCGCTCTCGGATCATAACTGGAATAAAAGTGCGGACTCTATCTGTGATGGTCTGGTTGCTGAAGTCATAGACATCTGGGGAAGAGCCCATGAATGGTTCGGCAAGCGTGGTGATGGAGGAGACATGTGCATTCACCATAGCCGGCGACTCGTGACCCGTCAGGTAGCCCAGGTCAATAGAGAGACGGTGGCACGTCTCACGATCATTCCGGGAGGCAGCCACAAGTGTGCGAATGTAGTTCGTGATGAATTCGGTGGGGAACTCGCGCGAAGCACCGAAATCAAGAAGTTCTAGACGGTTAGTCTCTGCGTTGTAGAGGAAGTTGGTCCAGTTCGGGTCCGTCTGCATGTATTTGAATTCGGTGATTTCTCGCAAACACAGACGCATGATCTGTGTGCCGATCCAATCACGCTGTTCTTGGGTGAAATTTTGAATCTTGGTAACGGCAACACCGTTCAATCGCTGCATGGTCAAGACCTGTCTACCCGAGGCCTCGGGGATGATTTCTGGTACCAAAAAGATTGGATCATCTTTGAGAAGTTCCTTAAAGTGCTTGCTGCATTCGGCTTCACGGATGTAGTCACATTCCCAGGCGAGTTCTGTCCGGGCATTTGCGATAGTCTTATCCAGATACAGACCCTTTGGGAGAAGACGAGACGCAGTGAGTAGGATTGACAGGTTGTTGAGGTCCGAGTCGATAGAATCTGCCACACCCGGGTATTGTACTTTGACGGCGACGGGTTGACCCGTTTTCTTTAGTACGGCTCCATGGACCTGACCGATCGAAGCTGCAGCCATTGGGACTTCATCGAAAGAGGAGAATAGATCCCGCCAGTTAGGGCCCAAGTTATCAGCTAGAACCTTGTCACGTTGGGAGGCCGGCATGTAGTCAGCTCGGTCTTGTACTCTCTGCAGAACAATTCCGATCGACTCTGGGAGCATCTTCGAGTCTAAAGCAGTTAGTTTTGTCCCGACAGCAGAGGCAAAAGGCTTATACAAACCTTGGAAGCTCAGCATCTGGCCTAATTTGAGGGCAGCACCACGCATCTTAGAAAGCTTAGCGACAAGGCGTTCCGTGTTCCCGGGACTGAACATTAGAGATCCAGCGTCCGCGTCATTACTACCGGTTACTCTTCGTAGACCCTCACCGACAGCTCCAAAAGCCATGGAAGTTGCCAGTCCACCATATTGCCATAGTCTCCCTAGACGTGATGACGGAACACGCGATTCTAACATTCTATAAGTTTCTGCTTGTTTTGAGTCTGCTATTACCACTGGATCGGTCTGCTCAAAGCTATTAGCATATATATTCTTCCTTCTCAGGAAAATGACACTACGAACCTGGGAGTTGATCGAAACTATATCATCTGCAATACTATCTCCGAGCTTCTCTATGTCATCCTGCTCGACTGAGCGCGTGGCCGCCCCAGCAGTCTTGAGTTCGCCTTTGTTCATGCTCAAATCACTTTTCCGAGAAATCGTTTTGGCGACCTTAGGGCTACGAAAGAGTTGACTCATGACCTCGTCTGGGATTTCCTGCTCTTGCGCAGGCGTTGCAACCTTCTCGGCATCCACAGACGAGTGAAATACATCCGCATTAATCTCATTGACTAAACCACTCTGGGTATCACTTGCAGCCTTGGGCAGTTTCGTTCTAGGAAGTCCAGATAGCTCGGGCCCTGCCTTCTGGGATGGCTGGTAGAACACATCCTGCTGTGGACTGACGTTCAAGTCACCGGACCTTTCATTTCTACTGTATTCCGCCGCAGTCGAAGGAATCTGGGATTCCGCCTGTCTTTGTGATCTCCTTGCGTCGTCGGCAGAGAGATTCGCCGCACGGCGAGACTCGGTCGCGCTTTGGGTCTGAGCCCTCGGCGTCGAGTCGGAGGGATTGGGTTCATTGAATCGCCTGGCCAATGCTGCGGCGGCTTGAGCGGTGAGTACGAGGCCGTCGGCCTGCTCTTTGAGGCCCTTGGTGAGAGACGAGGTTCTCGTAAACAAATCTAACTGGCGCTGGCGCACCGCCAGGTGTTTCGTTGCAACGGACTTGGCGACATTGAAAACTTGGATAGCGTCTAGAAGACGCCTTCCAGACATAGTATAAATCCTAAAAGGAAAAAAAGAATAAAAAAAAAAAGGAGGGGGAAAAATATTAGTGTCGTCTCCGGACTAACGAACTGGCATGACGAACGGCGCAATTTGTCATAAGTTGACCAAACGGTTTGCTTCTGGCTCGATACGAGAAGTCCCGAAGCTGGTCGCCGAGACCCGTCTTTTGCCACCGCCTACCGCCAAATCGGGCGATTCCGATCCTTATCGGCGAACTAACATCAGTAATAGATAAGGAAGTGGCGGCCCTCCATCTGGCGCTGCGAATTTCCTCCATTTCTCATCTTATTCCTCAAGTGTACGCCCCAATGATCACGAAATCGAGTCCTCAGAGTTTGGAGAAAGAGATCCTTGATCTTGAGTATCGTCTACAGAATGCCAAAGCTCGTCTAGCGGTGGCCTCCGGTCAGGAACCGAGCGGAGATTCATACTTGCCTCTTCCCCAGGGTAGGCGAAACGCATTACAAGACGTTGCGGCGGCCAATGCTGACCTCTTACCTCCAGATACGGTCCCATTACTTTCCAGTCATGCATTATTCCTACTATCGGACTCTGCCCTTCCATTGGGCTCATTTGCCTATTCTAGCGGTCTCGAATCTTATCTCGCGCATAATAAACCTCTTCCTCCAAAGATCACACCCACTGCATCCTTCCATCGCTTTTTAAAACTATCGATCACATCAATGGCGAGCACGTCAATACCATACGTTCTCGCGGCATACCGACATCCAGAAGACCTAGAAACATTGGATAATGACATGGATGCGTCAACGCCCTGTGTAGTAGCGCAGCGAGCGAGCATCGCGCAAGGGAGGGCTTTGATCGGTGTCTGGGAACGGGCGTTCCGAGGGACGTATGCTTCAGGTCCATTTTCAGCAGGCGTTGCTGCTTCCGAGGCGGCCAAAGCCATGGAGAACTTTTCGGACGCCCTAAAGTCGTGTTCTGACGCACCAGATGACCTGGGTCCCAAGGGTCACTTTGCACCCTTATGGGGTATCGTTTGTCTGGCTATGGGAATGGATGCTCGCCAAACAGCATATGTATTTATGTTGAACCATGCGAAGGCAGTCCTAAGTGCTGCGGTGCGGGCCTCCGTGATGGGGCCATATCAAGCACAGGCTATCCTAGCCAGTAAAAGCCTTCAAGATATGATAATGAACCGGATAGAGCGAGAGTGGGATACGCCCGTAGAAGATGCGGGTCAAGTTGTACCTCCATTAGATCTTTGGGTTGGACGGCATGAACTTTTATACAGCAGGATATTTAATTCATAATGAATACAATTCTATAACAGCGTGCTGATTGTCTTTAGATTGTCATGGTTGACATGACTCCGTTCTGCTGCATTCTTCATCTCCTTCCTCGTCCATAACTTCCAAGCTAATCCTACATCACGTGCCCTGCCCTCCCACCCAGATGCTACTCGGAACACTGTAGTGGGTATCCAAGAAAACCCCTTCCCTGAAGGGCACAAGGGAATACAAAGTGAGAAATCAAAGGAACAAGAAACCCCGAAGACATGAGATCCGCCATTGACTGGCCAATATGCAAAGAGAAAAGAAACAAGTTGAAACGCCGGCCCCTCTTGGAAACCTACCCTGCTAAACCGCATAGCAAAACACCGCACCGTAACCTTTTCCATGACTCAGGGGGGACAAAAGTGGATTCGAGAAGGCAAAGAAAAGGAAAGGGTAATAAAAGCGATAACTCGAAAAGGGGGAATTTGGGAGAATAGAACGAAAAGGGCGAAAGAAACTATGATACAAAAAGAATTTGCGAAATTAGGCCAAGAACAAAGATCCTAAAGGGTAATGTGCATATAGTCATTATTTCCGAACGATCGGTTGCAATTCGGGCACTTTCGAGAACGAGAAGTAAGGCGCTCTTCGACGCAGTCTTTGCAGAAAACGTGGCCGCAGGTTTTGATTGCGGTATTCTTGAAGTTCCTGCGACAAACGGTACAAAGTGCTAGTGTCTATGTTCGAGTCAGCTGTGATATCCTGTAGGCAAGCGGGGAAGAAAGGTAATTTTACCCTCAGCATCTCATATTCGGACGATGAATTTCCCAGGCTCTTGTTCTTCCAATTGTCCAGGCTTTTCTTGGTATCCGCAAGTGTTACCTTCAACCCTTCGATCTCTGTCTCGGCTTGCCGACAGGCACTGGAAGTGCTTGCCAGAGTTGCATCCTTGGACGTTGATAGTGTCTTCAGTTCATTAATCTGTCCCTTTAAGCCTTCTATGACGATGCCGTTCTCTGCCAACTGTTGCTGTGTAGCATGGTGCTTGTTCATCATAGATGTCAATGCCTCCTTTGTCTCACTAACTTGCTTCTCCATGTTCGCCAACAAAGAACGTGTGGCGGCTTCGGATTCCTTCAACTGCGAAACGATATCTGAGCTCTTCGAGTTTTGCATCCTCAGGGTCCGCACCTCCAAATCACGGGCCTCCTTGCTCTTCATTGCGGCGAAGTATTTCTGGTCGGCCTTGGATTTCTCCGCAGTCAAGCGCGCCACCTTTTCTTCTAACGCACTGAAATCTGTAACTTTCTGTGAAGCTAGCGTAGAGTATTTCTTGCAGGCAGTTTGCATGGAGGCTAATTCGGTGTTTAGCATTGCATATTGGCGTTCGAGTGCCTGGTACTTGGCGCGCAACTCCTCAACTGGGATGTCACTAGGATCCGCTTGTGTGGCTTTTGCGTTTTCCACCTGCAAACGAAGTCGTTCAACCTCCGACTCCAGAGAAGCAATCCGAGCATTTCCGGCCTCCGCGAGTTCCTGAACTTTCAAAACAGCTGTTTTCTCTTGCTCCTGGGTAGCCTTCCGCATCTGCTGATCGGCCAACAATTCATCACGTGCATTCCGTATCCGCGCCAAATCAGTCTCGGCCCGCATCAACTGCGCTTCCTTCTCAGCGATAACATTTTGCGTTTCTTCGTCAACCTGATTGCGGTATGCAGTGCGTTCGGATCGTAGCTTCACCGCCTCTTCGCGTAGTTGCACATTAGTTGCTTCCAAATGATTTATCCGTTTTACTACATCATCATATTGAGATCGCATTTGCTTAAACAAGTCCGTATGCGCATAATCATCATCGGTAAGCTTTGAACGCTTTCACAAGAAGTCAGTTCCGGATGGCTTTTGACGGGCCATAAAAAAAGATGGCTTACCTTGATATTCAATTCTGTGATTTGGCTCAGCAAGTTGGCGTTTTCGGTCTCCAGCTTCTGTAGCTGTTCTTTCTGCTTTTCTGAAATAGCTACTATCTTGTTATGTGCTTCATCTAGTTCAGGGCCACGTTCGGCACTAGGTGTCGCACCATTCGAAACCGCTTGTTCCTCTCGTTGACTGGACGCACTGTCACCCCCAGGTCGTTGAGGGCCTAGGATATATTGCTTCTCCAGTTTGGCGACCGTCAGACTCCGTGCACGGTCCAATTTCTTCTCGGCTACCATGTACCGTAAGGAGGCTTCTTCTAAGCTCTCTTCTAATTGCTGTTTTTCAGATAAAGCTTTGTCAAGTTCAGCGATAGTAGCCTTCTCTTCTGCTAGTTTCTTGGCGAGCTGACTCTGTAACTCAGATATTCCAGGTGGAGATTTTGGCGTATTTTTAACAAGGCGAGAGATAATGTCACGTATATCATTAGACCGCGATTTCAGATGTTTCTCAAAATTGTCGACATCGTCGAATGATAAAGAACTTTGAAATGCGGGCCGATCTCCTTTGGTATCCTCCGCAGCGCCCAGGAGTAGTTTAACCTCATCGATCAACTTTTGGAACTGTTAGTTGGTAACGCTACCATGATAAGAACCGTTGATCTACAGACCTGGTTATACCATGTATCGATGACGCGTAGGTGTTCGTTATGGCGACTAGCGGCTTTCGACATGTCCTTTAATTTGGCCTCCAGGGAGACCTTCTCACGCTTGTACTCCTGCATTTGGCGCCATATTGCATCCTTCTGAAATCGCTAATGTTGGGATAAAGAGTTAGTATTGAATACCATAACCAACGACGTGGTGGGCTCAGCGCTCGAGGGGTTTCCAAGGGGACCCTGGGATAAAATGAATCCAACTACGCCAGCTAACCCTGAACTCACCTCCAAGTCATCTTTCCACGGCATATCAGCATCTGGGTGAGGCTTGTTACCACCATTGACAGAAGTCGCTTGCTTCTTCAATGGTGGTGCCGAATCATTGTGATCAGATGTAGCAGCTCTCTTCCGGTCTTCCATCTTGACGAAACCGGACTCGGAGGATGCGACGGGGGATGCTTCGACGGCCGGCATCAGTGGCTAAAAAGGCATAAGGAGAGTAAAGCCGTCACCACTGAGCAGCAACGATATATTGGTGGAAGCCGCAGTAGTATCCGACCGTAAGAAGAGGGTGACGTTGTTAGGATGGAGGGATGAAAGCAGTCAAGATAAGCAAGATTGGTTGAATCCAGGAGGATTTTCGGCCTGGGAATTAGCGCCGCCCTAGCGCCTCCCACGTGACTGCGCCCACTTTCCCCAGGAGTTCAAGGCACGGCAGCATCTAGACTTTTGCCTGCATTATCACCTATTTTTCTCGACTACGACTATTGTCAACTCGAGTCTTCAGACTAAAACACCTCCGCGGCTTCTCTTCTTCCCATCCCGCCTTCAGCTATGACTGACATCGGTAGCAATGAAGTCCTTCTCGAGTTCTGCAATTAGTAAGTTATTTTGCGCTCCTGCACTTTCGGTCAGCATCTTGCGTTATTTCTTTGCGCTAATGACTTCCAACGACAGATAAGTCGGGCAAGAAATTCGCTCCCAAGGCGCCCGTCCGACGCGCCGCTCCAGCTCCGGCTGCAGCTCCTAGAAGACCCAGTGTCGCTTCTCAGGTATCGGCTTCTCAAACTCCTCAGCCACAAACACAAACTGCAACTCCCGAACCTGCTTCAACTGCCGAGCCTTCTCCTTCTCTTGAGACACCAGCTCCAGACGCAGCGACTCTTCATGGAAACGACGTGGTACCAACACCCCCTGCCGCAGCAACTGCCACAGCAATTGCGACGCCCAAGGCCGCCGCTACGGCGATTTCAATTCCTCGTCCAAAGCGAAAGCCTTCTTTCTCCGCATTTACTCTTTCACAGCCTCCTAATGCAACCCTCGTTGAGCCCGCGCCACTACCTTCCATTGAAGTAGCGCCTGATGAATCGAGGGAAGATCGAGCCCCAGGAGAAGAGCCTCGAGTCTCCGAGACACGCATTAACGAGGAGTCATCTCTGGTCGCTAAAACCCCGGCCGAAATCCGGCCCTCCAAGCGTCCAAAGACAACTTCCGAAACTGCAATTCCGGCTCTAGAGTCTCAGCGGCCCACCGGGCCTCCACAGCTAGCTACTCCGCCGGCTACACAGACCTCGACGAATGAGGAGACTACGGAGAGTCGGGATACCACAGAATCGCAGCCTCCCGCGGAACAGAATCGAAAGCCATCAAAGTCAAGAAAACGGAAGCCGTCTAAAGATGTCAATGGTGGAGATACGACGACCAGGACGAGAGAAAGGAAGCCTCGGGCTCCTCGTAAGAAGCGCGAACCGACCCCTGAAGGCTCTGAAGCTGTCCAAATTGCGCCTGGTATTGTCAAGATGTCGGAACTATGCAAGGACTTACGGACCGGGAAGATCTCTAAGCGAGAAACCGAACTGCGCCAGATGGAGCTGGCTGAATTGGAACGCAAGCAGAAAGCACAGCAGGATGCAGAGAATACCGAGCAGACCCCTATCAAAGAGAGCGAAAGTGCAGCCCCGCCAACACTGGAAGCAAGCGGCTTAGGCGAGCAAAAGTCCCAGAACGGACCAGTCATGAGAATCGTGAACGGGGAGATCGTGCTCGATGCGGCATCGCTCCAAGTCGACCGCCATGCGGATGCAGCAAGAAATGCCGGGGAGCTGGAGGATGTTGTAGAAAACTCCTTCACCCGAAAAGTCAATCAGGCGTCATTTGGAAAGCGCTCCAAAACTGAATCTTGGGATGAAGAAATGACGGATTTATTTTATCGAGGCTTGCGCATGTTCGGTACCGACTTTATGATGATCAGCAAACTATTTCCGGGAAGGTCCAGGCGCCAGATCAAGTTGAAGTTCAACAATGAAGAGCGCCGAGACCCGAGACGGATTAAGGACACACTGTTAGGACCACGGGAAGCTGTTGACATTACGACTTACTCGGAGATGACCAACACCATCTATGACGACCCCAGGATCATTCAGCAAGAACTAGATGAGGAGAAGAAACGGATTGAGGATCAGCATGCTAAAGAAAAGCAGGCTCAAGAGGAGCTGATTAACAATCCAGATGGTGCCGCGGATGCTAATCATTCTCCGGAGCAAGACCAAGGCACTGCCCCTGTCAAGAGCAAACGCAATAGCAGGAAGCAAGCCGCTAAGAATACGGGTGGTGGAAATGAAGAAATTTTGGGCACTATTGATGACTTTCCTTAAAATATAATGCTTTTCTTGATTGATATGATTTAGACTGTGTTGGCCTCTAATGTGATACTGATGATAGGCGTTTGTGGCGTTTCCGATATCCCTCATCCGGTGTTGTTGTTACGGTGGTTGGCGAGGAAGTTCAGTTGTATTACTGCTTGCTCTGCCTTCATATTCTTATGCTTCTTTCTACTATTTCTCGACCTGGTCACCGTTCATATCAATATGCTCCGTTTCTTCACGGGTCATGGCGTGGAATTCCTGACTCATGGACTGGATTTCCTTTTGTCTAGCATGGTTTCGGGCAAATCGCTAGAGTATATAACTTGTTGCGCGAAAGATTTAAAGACTTTAGGATATATTTGGTCCAGGATCAGCGACGCCTGGTTGAACCAAACCCTGTACTTGTAGTCGGAGTAGAGAACTGAGGAGAACGAGACCGCGAACTGCTTTCTCCAGGATCATCTGCATCATTCCATCTGCCGAAGGAAGTCGTTCGTCGGCCAGCAGAAGGATATTCGTTGCGATTTCTTCTTCCATACTGATAGCCAGCCGCGGCACCACCCAGGGCACCTGTCCAGAAGCCCGGCCGCCAGCCCTGCCCAGCAGCAGGCGCTGATGCGAAAGAACCACTATCCGGACAGCTGCTATATGGTGGTGGAGGCCCAGGATAGGGGCCACCACCACCTGCTCCTCCTCCTCCTCCTCCTCCACCACCAAACCCACGACCAGGAGTGCGACCTCTTCGGTTTCCTCGCGAACCAGAACATTCATTACACATGGCTACCAGTATCACCAAAAAAACCGCACCCATGAGCCCAAAAAAGAGTATATCTCCTAGTGAAGCCAGACCGTTCTCTTCGTTGTTCAACGGCATTCTAGGCCTACTTTCTTGTACACGTCCAAATTTCCGCTCTCCAAGTTCCGTTAACAATAGTCGATACTCTACACCACAGCTGCCTTTCAGTACCCACTTGTCCTCTGCATTTCGGTATCCCTCGCAGACAACATCTGTTGAGCCAAGCTTGAACTCTTGGGGTAATGATGCGGTACAGGTCCACTGGACGTCTTCCTCATCATAGTCGTAGCCTGCGTTGGTGCATCGCATCACATCTATGGGATATAGGTCACATATCCTCTTTGATGGCCCAGTGCATTGCAACTGGGGGATGGGATCAACACGGCGGGAGGTTGTCAGACGATTTCCGCGCAGAGTCAACGTTTGCACATTAGAGAGAAGGATGGCATTGTTGCCTGGAGGATTCCTGCCATATGAGAGGGTAGGAAGTACAAGAAGAAGGAAAGACAGGAATGTCTGTAAGTTTATTGAATACATAGTTAGATGCTAGTAAAACCAAGCAATGACAGCTGGATGATCACGCAAAAGATAGAAAAAAAATTGGACGAGAAGTGGAGCTTTGTATACGTGGTAGCTGTGGTGGCGTTTAGTTGACGGGGCATGTTGACAGCTGTCATTATCCACTCGGAAGAGCAACAAACGTGTCTTTGGTCTGAAACTTGTTGAAAATTCGCCGTAGGAGAGAAAGGGACTTGCTCCAAAACTGCAGATCAAGTGAATAAATATATCACTCTTTGTCTCTGACGTCCTGCTCATTTGTTCTTGTGTTTTCCGATACATAGTGAGAAGAAACGATAAGGTCTGATAATCAATCCGATAAGGAGATCTGGCGCTAGTCCAGACTAGTCGAGAGTCTAAATTAAATTGCTTGCGGAAGTCAAGCCTTCACAACCTCTTTACTCTACTGACGCTAGTGCAGCGATGGGTGATGACCAGTCATTAAGGTCGACAGTGGCTGAAAATGACATTTCAGCAAAGTGCGTCCTGTTGAATCTCCCAATTTGTAATTCGGAAATTTTGGCTAACCGTGACGAATTAATTAGATGAACCCTCGGCCGTTCCGGCGCAATCCTCGTACGTCATTTTGGATAGAGGCCCTGGCATTGCTCTAACGATAAAACTAATGAGGCAATCAAGTCTCTCCTTCACTCAGGGGTTTCTTCTAGGACAGCTCTCCGTTGTACTGCTTATCGGTGCCTTCATCAAGTTCTTCATTTTCGGCGAAGCTCCTCCACCGCCGTCCCGCGGCCTTTCTCACCGCGCCTCAACCCACAGACGCTCCAATTCGATCTACACCATAAACCCCAATGAGGGAACCTCTAGATCGCTGAGAGAAAAACCCTCTACGTCCAACGTTCTTCGTCCAGTGCCGTCGTCTGCTACCAACACTCGATCCATTCTTCGGAAAACCTACTATAGCGCTATACCTACGAATCCCTCGGGAAAGCATGGCCGCCATAGGATCCACCATTCATCTCATCAGCCGGAATCCCTGGATTGGTTTAATGTATTGATCGCACAAACTATTGCGCAATACAGGCAAACGGCATATTTGTTGAAGGATGACCCTACGTCCTCGATCCTCAGTTCGCTGACGGCCGCATTGAACAACCCAGAAAAAAAGCCTTCCTTTATAGACAAGATTGCGGTGACGGATATATCCTTAGGCGAAGAGTTCCCAATATTTAGCAACTGTCGCATCATTGCTGTGGATGACCCCAACTCTGACGGTGGGAGGCTTCAGGCCCTGTTAGACGTCGACTTGAGTGATGACAATCTCTCGATTGCTGTTGAGACCTCCCTTCTATTGAACTACCCTAAACCATGCTCAGCCATTCTTCCAGTGGCCCTATCTATTTCCGTTGTGCGGTTCTCAGGGACGTTGTGCATATCTCTGGTCCCAGCATCCACGCCTCCCCTTCACACGCCATCACCCTCACCATCACCCCCCACTGCAGACGGGGCCGCCAATGCACGAACACACCCTACCAATGGGTCAGGAGAGCCTGCTCAAGAGGCCCCCGACACACAAGAAGAGTCTCCGCCAAAAACCAGCCCGAAAAGCAACGTCGCATTCTCATTCCTTCCTGACTATCGACTTGACCTCTCAGTGCGGTCACTAATTGGCTCCCGTAGCAGGCTTCAGGATGTACCCAAAGTCGCTCAATTGGTGGAAGCCCGTGTTCATTCATGGTTCGAGGAACGTGTGGTAGAGCCCCGGGTGCAAGTGGTAGGCCTGCCTGATCTCTGGCCTCGCATGGGCCGGACCGGCGTACGGACAGGGGAAGACTCTGAAACTGGCTCTAACGCAGCATCACGGTCCGCTATGTCTGCAGATATGGGTAATCCACTTCGAGCCGATGACATTGGTAGGGAACCAGATGGGTTGAGATTCCGAGGACTGGGGGCACGACCACCGTTTGACAGTGTCTCACGAACGAGTAGCTTCAATGTAGAGACTGGTGGATTCCGCAGCCATAGCATGACGCGAGAGGGGAGCGGTGGTGGCATGAGTGATGACTTTCACATGCCTGGCACTTTACCTGGAGGTGCGGCCGCTAACTAATGGCTTAATTTTCCTGATGTATACTAACATATGTTTTCACAAAGAGGATCTTTTTGCATAATAAGCGCGTGTTTCTTTGTGTACTACATGTGCATAGCGAAACTGAGTGCTCGTCATGAATCTCATTGCTTTGATATATACACATTCAATCGTCAAATGTAGCCATGCCAATCACCTGGAAAGATGTAGATCACAGAACACACCGGGCCTTTCCAATGTCCATGCTTTGGCCCTGACCTAGCAAGACACCATTTAGTTTGCAGCCACAGCAGTTGTGCTGAGAGTTCCAAGATATGTCTTCCGATGGGGGTTGGTATCAACCTCTTCGCTACGGTTCAAAGGTGTCCACTTAGGCTCTTCCTGGAAGAGGCGCATAGCCTTGACATACTACGAGTACATGGTCAGCAGCCAGACTTAATCCAAGACAATTGACACAAACTCACGTTCTTCTCATCGGTAGTGAATCGGTGGTAGATACCAGCAGGAAGGATGATTAGGTCATCCTTGCTGAGCTGGATACGGACCCATTCATCCTCCTGACCGCGAACATCAAAGTAACCCTCACCATCGCGGATGTACCGGATTTCCTCGTCCTCGTGTAGATGCTCAGCAAAGAACATCTTAACCTTCGACTCGTACACGTCGCCCATGGTCTGTGGAGAAACGCACACCTCATCGCGGTTCTTATATCCGCGCTTCTTGGCCAAAGCGTTGACAGACTCGATATCAGGGCAATAGCGGTAGAAAACTCCGATAGAAGCGAGGTAGTCTTCGGAGACAGGCCGGCCAGAGTCGTGGGGTTCGCGCTGGTCACCCTGTTACAAGATTAGCTACCATCCTCCTAGCGCGATCCTGACGGCGGCGGGCAGCGTCTTCGCAGTTGTTGAACGTACCGGCTTGTTGTCGTACCAGTATGCCTTCATCCTGACTTGTGGTTCTAACTTTGTTCCAAAGGATGATGATAATTGAATGGGTTTATCAGTTTCCAGTGGAAGAAGATACTTCAGGAACAGAGAAGAGCAGCTGTGGATGAATCAAGAAAAAAGGACCACAAGCCAATGGCCCGCGGGGTTGAGAAATCGAGCCCCGCAATTGGCCAACGATTGCGCAACGATCGAGGCCGCTGTACTCACCGCCCTCGGAGTTAACGGCCATAGTGTGTCTGCACGTGATGCTCAATTGCCAGATTTTCTGTTTAGTTGGTCGGGGTTTGGAAATTCTCCCTATGATTTGACTCTCCACCATTATACCCCGTCATCATGGCTTTTCGGGTGCGGTCAGTGGCTCTTCAGCGATGGAGTCACGGTTCTCGCTCCCGATTGCTGGGTTCAGTTCGCGGTCTGGCCACTGTCTCTGATGGCTCACGGTATGCCCTTGTCTTTCTTATCGCTATCCTTGTTTTCAGGATTCTTCATTGAGTTCATGGCATTAACGTTCGTGGTGTAGACCATACGATGTCGTCGTCATTGGAGGTGGACATGCTGGCTCGGAAGCCTGCGCTGCGGCAGCTCGATCGGGCGCTCGCACTGCGTTGATCACACCCTCGCTCTCAAACATCGGCGTATGCTCGTGCAATCCAAGTTTTGGAGGAATCGGAAAGGGCACAATGATCCGGGAAGTTGATGCAATGGACGGTGTTGCAGGGCGCATAATCGACAAAGCCGGTATCATGTTTCGGATTCTCAACAGATCGAAGGGGCCTGCAGTCTGGGGACCTCGCGCTCAAATCGACCGTGACCTGTACAAGAGGTACATGCAAGAAGAGCTACTCGCGACTGAAGGGCTAAGTGTTTTGGAGGGGAAAGTTGCAGATATAGTGGTGTCAAAAGAGGGTATGGAGGATGTGCCAGGTGCGCAGGGCAAAATTGTCGGAGTAAGGCTAGAGTCTGGGGAGGTCATACCTACTAGCCGAGTGGTAATCACAACCGGGACCTTCTTGGGCGGAGAAATTCATATCGGAATGACAGTGTACCCATCGGGCCGCATGGGTGAGGCCGCTACGTTTGGACTAAGCAAGTCCCTCCGAGAAGCTGGGTTCCAGCTTGGTCGTCTGAAGACCGGGACTCCTCCTCGACTAGATGCGAAGACGATCGATTTCAAATCCCTCGAAGTTCAGAAAGGCGATTCACCGCCGCAACCGTTTTCCTACCTCAACAATACGGTTCAAGTCGGCGACGAAGGTCAACTCAATTGTTGGATGACCCATACCAACGAGGCCTCTCACGACATTATCCGCGCCAACTTGGATAAATCCATCCACATTCGCGAAACCGTCAGAGGACCAAGGTACTGCCCTTCTCTTGAGTCAAAGATCATCCGCTTTCAGGACAAGAAGCGACATCTCATCTGGCTGGAACCAGAGGGATTTGCGCCTAACGACGTTATCTATCCTAATGGAATCTCTATGACTGTCCCGGAAGACGCTCAGTATACTATGCTACGGACCGTTCACGGGTTGGAAAACGTGCGCATGCTTCAACCAGGTTATGGAGTAGAATACGACTACATCGATCCTCGTAACCTCTGGCCTACCCTGGAAACGAAACTGATCAGCGGACTTTATCTCGCCGGCCAGATCAACGGAACAACTGGATATGAAGAAGCCACGGGACAAGGAATCATCGCCGGTACCAACGCCGGTCTCTCCGCTCAAGGCCGGTCGCCGCTCACGCTTACGCGGTCAGATGGGTTTATTGGAATCATGATCGACGACCTGATTACCAAGGGCGTATCTGAGCCCTACCGTATGTTCACAACGCGAAGCGAGTACCGGATCTCCACAAGATCAGACAATGCGGATCTACGCCTAACACGAATGGCTCGCAACGCGGGTGTCGTCTCTAACAAACGCTGGCAACATTTCACCGACACCGAGGCGCAGATCAACGAGCTCCAGACTCTTCTCGCCAACACAAGAATGTCCTCTAACGCATGGTCCCGTAAAGGCTTCAAGGCCCGAGTAGACACATCTATCCGTTCAGCACTGGACCTCCTCTGTCTCGACGAAGTCGAAATTGATGCCTTAATCCCGCACATCGAATCCCCTTCCGGAAAGGTCTATACCCCCTCTTCCTTCGCCCCAGAAATCCGAGCCCGCGTTGCTATCGAACGCCGCTACGCCCCATACGTCGCTCGACAAGAGACAGCGGTCCGCAAGTTTTTGCAGGACGAAAGCCTACTCCTTCCCCCTGACCTGGACTACTCCAAGGTCAAAGGCATCAGCACAGAGGAAAAACAGGCCCTCGAACGTGTCCGACCCGTCAGCGTTGGTATGGCCCGACGGATCGAAGGTGTCACTCCCGCAGGTGCCATACGGTTACTTGCTCACGCCCGGAGAACCGGTACACCACCTGCAAGTGAGAACCTAGAAGAGACCCCGGATGACATCCTACAACAGGCTCCTTAGGTTGAGAACTTAATCTGGTACATAATCGCATACATTACTTACGAAGACGAACAGTTTGCAATCATATTCTGGATATACAGCGGCAAACACACCAGGCGCAATGGACAGGTTCAGGGATGGGTGTCTGATATGAAAGGGCTTGCTTGGCTTCCAGTCTTTAGGGACATTAATCCGGAGAAGCATGTACATTATTCTGTATTTTTTCAAACTTTCCTCTTGATCGAATCTGACGGCGTGCGCATATTTAACTGAATCACCTCATCTCACCATGTACAGTAACGCTATAGATAAACCATTGAAGATACCTTTTCATGTTATTCTAAGACAGCTTTTTATCCTACTGGCTCGAGGACATTAAAACAAAACTCCAAGAAAGGCTAAGGCACTCTCACGCTGAACTGTAAAGACAGTCACAACACATGCAAACCGCTTCCTGTATGTAAGATAGATGCTTAACTAATGTACACATAACATACACTTATTGGTGCGATATATTCAATTAGACTTCTTAGCGCTGGCCCTTGCCAAGCGCTTTTGTACTTCTTCCTTTGTAAGGATTTTAACTGCGTCTCTGGAGAAGACATAGCTCATTCCGGACCAGATGGTAGTAGCTGCGACGAGGTATCTAGGTTCTTGCTGTTAGTTTTGAAATTCAATAAAAAAATAAGAAAAACATACAACAGGAGGGATTCGCTGGTGGTCACCCACCCAACTACTAACCTCCCGGCGTGTGGCTTAAGTACGGCTGAGCGGACGGGAAGCCCTGTTCTCCACACCCTATGGTCGTATGTGCTTGGTTTCTTCCCGATAAAGCTTATATTGCCCGCTCATGCTATTTCCTTGCAGCGCACGCAAGATAGGAAGGGTAAAAGGGGGTGATAGGCAATAACTGGAAATGATTACTTACTGAAATCCGGTCATTGCTTCTTTGAGATTCCATGCGTCTATGATTGCCTCCGGGACAACAGGCAGTGCAATGGCAGTACCCACAAGGAGCAGCTGCAGAGCGGTGTTGACCTTGGAGATCGTCGTGGGTTTGACCTCCGCGGAAGGGAGAGAGAAATCCCAATACCGTGCCATGGTTTTGGGCGGGGGAAGTGAGATCCAGCGATAGTAAATCGCGGATATAGCAAGGCCGACGTCACGACCGAGGATGATGACGGCGAGCCACACTATTAGAGCAAGTTAACATCGCTGTACATGTCGGCACTTCCCCCGCATAGTAATTAGTAGGTTACTTACCCGGAATGGAGCCATTGACTGCTAAACAAGCGACTCCAATGGTCATCAGTAGCTTATCAGCCATGGGATCGATGATCGTCCCAACAACGGTTTGCAGGTTATATCGCCGCGCGATGTAGCCATCAACGAGGTCGGTAATTCCAGCATAAGCGAATAGGGCCAACGCTGCCTGGTGGTAATCATGAACAAGGAAATACCCTACCAAAGGGGCAGCAACCAAGCGAGTCATGGTGAGTATATTGGGAATCGTGTAGATGTTCTCGTGGCTGGTAGGTAGGGGAATGCGAGAAAGGATCGGTGACTTCTTCGAACCAGTTTGAGATCTTATACGACTTAGTCCACATGAGGTCATGAATGTATTGCGCATAAAAATAAGACTTTGATGAAAATACGGTGTAGACACAACACATGATAGCCTAGAACACCTACTTTTGAGCGTCAGTCTGGTCGGAGGGCTTATCGGTGGCATGCCATCTCCTTTGAGGACCGAGACTTTGGCGCCAATGAGACGTCAAGCGCAGAGTCACGCAGCCGTTATTGTTCAGGGATCTAGAAGCCTGTCAGACCAATCCCCCCTTTCAAGCACGATTAACGTGAACAGAAAGCCCATACTTGCTTCGTAATGAGTTCGATGGACTAGCTAATGTGAAGATTGAAGAGCCGCGAAACTCCACTCGTAGACCCGACCATCTTTCCCGCACGGCAGCACCGTTTCCAAGAGATGGAGCTGCAGTGCCATTGTACAAGCGAGGACACTGTCGAGACGCGCGAAGAGGCGCCAGCACAAAGGATCTTGCTGCCATAATGAAAGCTCAATATTCAGAGAAAATGAGTAGATTATAAAGCCAATCAGGTCAATGAGTAAACCGCAGTATGGCACTGAGGGAAACCTGTGCGGCTTCGAACTTCAAAGAGAAACGTTCACTTAAAAAATTGCTCCTTCTCAAGCATAACCAATAGTATACAGCTTCGATATGTTCCCAGGAGGCCAAGTCAGTCAATCCATGAACTGATATCGAAGGTCAGTACTCTGCAGGCCAAATTCAGATAACAGGTAAAAAAAGGCGATAGTGTCAAGTCTAATCCAAAGTTTTCTTCCGTATAAACTAATAAGGAAATAACGAAGGTGTCAAAAAAAATGAAAGACGAAGTGGCCCGTGGTGACCGGCAACAGTTCAAGTTATCTGATGAGGTGATATAGAAGTGGCAGCTCGATGGCCGAGTTCCGCGACTCCAACCCGAGGGAAATCTCAAGGTTAGCAGGAGCGCAACTAACAAATAGTCCAGGCAATTGCCATTCAAAACAGACTTGAATGCAATTGGCTGGGGAGCTGCCACAGAAACTTGACGATATATCGGGTTGAAAATTAAAAATGTACGATGGAAGCTATACAAATCGAGGCTCGTGATTTGAGGAACACGTCCACGGAACAACAGTTGATCCGGAAGGTGTCATGTGATAGGAACGGTCAGCAGTACGACTAAGTAGTTAGTTGTTGGCATGATGACAATGACCATGACAACGATGATGATCGAGTCGTAAGGCTATGGTGTAATGACTAGTTGATCAAGCAACATTTCAAGATCTCCAGCTGACTCATAACAGGCGATAGAGTTCATCTGCTCTGATGCAGCAGATCGACCTTTTCTTGGCATGCTACTATATAAATCGGCGCGGGTCTCATCTGACTTGCCTGCTCCCACCAATGCTTCTCACCTGATAGTAGGAAGAGCAGCTGTCCACATTGTTGTCGTCATACTAAATGACTCCCCAAATGAGGCGACATGTATAGAATGCCTTTACCCCAGACTTTTAAGCCACTCCGTGGGAGTGCTACGACTGTTGTTCACTCTAGTGTGATCCTCCATGGATAGTAATAGAGCTTCATGACTTCACCATGGGGATATGGGATGACGGTGAGGATCCAGAACCGTTTCCGATGAGGAACCCGAACCTGGCTATGGTCACTATAGACCGTCCTGCAGCTCCAGCACCACCAGGAACTCCATCGCCTCCAGCATCAAGACGGCCAAGTGCACCCGAGCACCCATTAACGGAGCCCTCTTCAGATCCAAATCTGGCCAACCCCCGTCTTATGATCAACAGAGCATGTATCTACGAACGCCAATTACCGGGAAATGCCTACATTACGGCTCACGTGCAGCGTTTGCAACACGGGTTTTACTCGAGCTCAGCCGTTTCTGATCAAGACCTCGACCATGTTGACTTCCTAGGTATCAATTTCGTTTTCCACTCCCCTAACACCCTTACGCATCGCTTCAAGGCAGCGACCATCCGAGCCTCGATCCACAGCATGCGAGAAATTTCCAAGCCCTCCACTGTGTCACAAAACCCTCATACCTACCGGTCCAGAAACCCACGATTTCTCAAACACGCACCACACCTCCTGTATGGGTCTGTCTCGCCCGAGACGCTTCAATGGAACTACAGTCTCTCTGGATCGCTCGGTGTAGCTGAGCTACCCCTCATGGCCAGCATCTCCCCGTCTGGCGGCATGAACGGACGGTACCGACGGTACGAGATGATGAGAATCCAGGGCTCAGTCCGGTCATTGAAGAGCCCACGCGGGCGAAAGTTTGACGTCGAGGCAGGGGAAATTGTTTGGTCGCTGGAGGAAAACAATTTGCAGCGCTCTGGCCTGCCACGAGAATTTACATTTGCCATGTTAATCCAGAAACCGCGCGCCGACAGCCGAATCCAACTCGTGCTGGATATCGAGCCGGTCCTTCAGTGCAGCTACTTCAACTACCCGACATGGTGGCTGGATCTCCCGGCGTACAAACCGGTACCTCGACGGTCAGTAGACTTTCGAGTCGAAATCGGACAGCGCTTTGAGCCCCTCACGCCCAATAAAGGATTCAACTTCGCTACCCTGGAGAGCTCGTTTGATGATTATGTGCACATGCCAGGAAGAAAAGTTACCACCGGGGTGAGTCTGCCCCGGCCTTGATTAGAACAAGTCAATCGAGAGCTATCTCTCAAAGTCCATGAAAGCTCACGTAAAAATGCAGATACCCCTGGAAGGCGGAATTGCTCAAGACGACAACGAAGTCCGGCGTGAAGTCACCCGAGATTTCTCCATGGTCGAACCCGTCCGGGGGATCCCCCGAGTGCCATACACAGGATCAACGCCCGCCGGGGCCGCAGGTAAAATGTCCGGAAATCGGAACGGAGTTAGCAACATGCTACCTGTTCTCGATCCGGGGTCTCTCTCCGTGCGGATCCTGCTCGACAACAGCCACGGGCATAGCAGCCAGCTGGCGTCGCATATCTCCGCCCTGCGGTCGAACAGCAACATTGCGAAAGAACGAGATAAGATGCAGGATCAAGCACCTCCTCCATCCTCCGCGACTATCCGAGATAAACAATCATCGACGCAACCCAAGAAAGTGCAGATCACGCAAAGCGTGTCGGATAACCGAATCATGAAGCGCGGTCGAGGCAACTAGATAGTGTTGCCTTTACACACGCCCCCCTTCCTTCCTTCCCAGCATCCAGAAAGTATATTTTATGCTCTGCTTTTAATGAATATATGTACAATAGACTACAGCAATGATACCCCTAGCATACAAGCGACGTGGGACCAAGCTCCTAACCCCGGTAGAAACTCAAATCCATGCGAACGAGAAAGACCCCAGATAAGGGCCCCCGCTATGCAAGTATATTAAATCACATACATACATACATACATACATACATACATAAAACAACCAACCACCAAGAAACCTAAAATAAGCACCTAAAATCAAAAAGAAAACAAGAAGCCCAGAAAGCGACTCTAAAACAAGAAAAGAATAAAAATAATAAAAAAAAAAAAAAAAAAAAAAAAAAAAAAAAAAAAACAATAAAAAAAAAAAAAAAAAAAACAATAACAAAAAAAAAAAAAAAAAAAAAAAAAAAAAAAAAAAAAAAAAAAAAAAAAAAAAAAAAGAGAAAGAAAAGTTAAAAGGCAAAATGCATGACACAGATTTAAAACCCACCCCAGCCAATAACCCTGGGCCCCGTGATCGGCACCCCAGAAACGGTACTTAATTGCCATGCGAACGCATGTCATTGGACCGAAGCCGAGTGGGGCCCTCGGGATAAATCGTACGGCCCACATTTGGTCATGATCTGCATCCCGAAAGTAATAAGTTATAGGTATATTAACTTAAATTTGAGAATGGGCGGAGAGGGAGAGGGGGGAACCCTGGCCTTACCTATTTTATTTGAACTTAAGTTAACCTTAGATTTTTCTCATGCTGGGGTTTTGTTTTGTTTTCTTTAACTTCTCTTTTTTAAACTTTGATATGTAGGGATGTGGACGATACTATGGGTGGGGAGAGGTTTTGTCGGGTGATGGTGGATTGGGGGTATGAGAACCTTGGTTCGTGGGTTGGTTGAGTTTGTTACGGTGACATCTTCAATTTTCATTCTTTTCCTGCTGTCTTGTTGTGTCATACGTTCTTTTCCTTGATGCCCGGGTTGAGACCGTGTATAGCATTGTTGTTTGCGTAGATGTAAATGTCAAAGCTATGACATCCGTAAGGGTAACCCCATTAGAAAAGAGAGACAGACGGGAGAAAAAAGGAGAGGGTATCAAGTTATGGAGAAAGAAAAGCAAAGAAATACAGATAATTATACTTGAATTGACCCTACTTTTCCCGAATACAACGAGCCGGATATCGATCGAGTCGAACAGAGAGCCACCCACATGTGCAAATCGTGATTTGAAACAAAAGAAAAACATGAACGTGAAAGAGAAGTAAAAAAGGAGTCCTTCCCTCCCAAATAATAAGATACTCGAGAAACCATCCATCACAAATGATACAAGAGAAGTAATCGTTTCATATACATCTCCTGCACAACGCTGCTTCAGTACCCGAAATCATCTTGCAGTCGACAACGGCCCAAACGCGATCGCAGAAGGGGCCCGAGAAAAGACACAGGGTAATGATATCACCAGCTCCTCGCTGAACATTGCATGAAACACTCGCAGAAGGGAGTAAAAGAAATAGCGAGGCGATTTTGCAAACCAGCGTTGCATCGAACTGACCGGTGGGCCTGCGGCTCGCGCTTCAATATACACCAGAATTCACGGTGTCCTCCCAAAAAAAACAATAAGGATATGATCGTGACGAACAGCAAACATAAAGACAACGAAAACGAGCAAAAAGATATACCACAGATAACCGCCCCAAACCGTGCCACCCAAACCGACCCATTGATCATAATCACATTAGAGCGACACACAGAGAACATTGCTTTCAGAAAGGATAATAATAACGAAAAGAAACCACCCAAACGGCAGAAATAGTACGAAGGCTAGAACTAAAGAGAGGGAATTTTGCAGTGCATCACATCATCGTAGGGGGAATAACACGAATATAACGTTCGAAGAAACAAAAAGAACCACCGGTATCTCCTCTAAGAGCAGTAATCATCCGGGTAATCATCCGTAGCATATATGCAGAGTCTATTCCCAAATTGCCGCCCTTTTGCCGGAGAAAACGTATAACATGCAAAAAATTAGGTGTTAAGAAAAAAAAAAAAAAAGAAAGAGGGAAAAGAAGAAGAATAACTAGAGCGGCTAGACCAACAATGGTTATACTTGCGGTTGGGCTGGAGCAGCTGTCGTCCAAGTGGAGACAGGGTAGTTAGCATGAGCAGCTGGAGCGGTGGCGCCCACATAATACGGGTGTCTGTCGCCTCCGGTGTAATAAGGGTTAGGAATTGGATTCGATTCCCGACGAGGGATACTAGGGTCAAAAGCCGCCATGCCGCGCTGTTCCAGAGACTGGTGCGACGCCCCATCCAATTGCCCCGCTAGGCTGAAACTGTTACCCCGTGAATAGGTAGCCGGCGTGGCAGGGTCCATCGGTGAGGTTGCATCGGTTGCAACACTTCGCGAGGAAATCGAAGAGTTCCGATAAGCCGAGGGGCTGTGATCCGAGTGGGACCGATTACGGTCGCTCAAGGAGCTCGGCATGGCCGCGCCCATGGCGGATGGAATGGACGACGAAAGAGGATTATGGTTAAGCGCATCGAAACTCGTCCCATAGTGCGCCGGAGCTCGGAACTGCGGATAGTCATCGGGTTTCTGTGGGATCTGAGTCGGAGCTGATGGAGCAGGAAGATAAGGATTGGGGGCCGGCTGCGCAGGGATTGATCCGGCCATTGAATACGCCGTCATCGGCGCTGACTGTGGCGGATGGGTTGCCGCATAAGGATTCGCGTGCATATAGAACTCCGGATGAGGATTCGGCATCCCATAGCCTGGGGGGGCTACCAGCTGCGGAGGACGATATCCGTACAGCGCATGGGACGGGTCATTCTCCATGCTGCCAGTCTCTAGATCATCAATGGGAGCCCGGAAACTTTGTTTCTGGGTCAGTTCTGCCCGGGGCCTGATAAATCTCAGTGAATCAACCATCGACGGCGGGTTCAAGACACCCCTCATCACATCCTCCACGCTATAGTATGACACCAGATGGTGTGTCACGCCGGAGACAGTCACACTCATCGTCTTCTTGACTAAACCCGAGTCCTTGAAGCCGTAGGAATCCACCAAGGAACCGACCAGTGCTCTTTCCACATCAGACTGGTGCGATCTCTCTCCGAACGTCCCGGTTGGTGGAGGAGAATAGCCTTGGCTACCGTTGCTGTCATGGCGTGGATAGGGCTCCCCGGGCCTGTTCGGAGGGACTGGCCGTCGGTTGGCCTTCTTCATCGCTCGCTTCTTCTCACCCGGGGGGAATGGCTTTTCGAGCTCTCGATAGACCAAGAAGTTGCCCAGGATGCGACTTGGACTCCAAGTGACGCCGTCTGTCCATCGCTTGATTCCCGATGAGTTTTCCTCGTAGATAAATACGCTTCCGCTCCGGACTAAATGACCACGCTCACGATCGTGAGGTCGGCGGGGCACATGATGCAGGACACCGGTCAAACATGCCTCGAACAAGATTAATGCATCTTGCGTTGTCGCAACGTACCCCGTGAAGGTAGGCTCCAACACTGTGGTGGTGCCGTTGACCATTGTTGATGGTGGTTGTAGGTTCGAACCTAGTTCAAAGGGGGCCAAAGAGGTAAAATCGATCAAAGTTAAGGCCACCGCTGATCAAGGTTTCGCGGGCTAGATGGTTATTCAACAGAGTAGTAGTTCCCAACCCGCAGAAAGAAGGATGGCATACACAAGACCCGCGATTTCTCTGAATCGCGATTGCCAGAAATGTACGGTTAAATAAATCGATGAGCTCTTGCGCTCCTGCGATGTAATCACACCGGAGAAAAACTGGAGCTTGAAGAGTGGGAGAATTCGGGAGGGGGGAGGCAAATGTCCAGTCGACCTCCCGGGGCGAAGTTTAGGAGAGAATGACAGGTTGATGGGGAGTCAAAGCGGATGTTGAACCGTAGAAAAGGGATGATGGCGCAAGTTAAAATCCCCTCCTCTCAGCGAGTTGAAGGATCACCCAGACGTGGGCAACCCGGATCGACAGCAAGCACGGGCCCGTCCTTTTTTGTCCAGGTCTTTCGCCCGGAAAGAAAGGTTGGATCCGGAGAGATTCAATCGCCCTAAGCAATTACTGGGTCGACTGGAGCTCTGGTTCCACGGATAGCGATCGGGATCGTAAAGTGTTGACTTATGACTAGACTCGTCCGCGAACCAGAGAAAGCGCTGCGGGAATTCCAAGAGTTGGGCCTGCAAGATGGGTCAGATAAACCCCGATTTTCGTCGTCAAAACTCCCAACGAGATGCAAAAGAATTAAATTATCAACCAACCCCTGAGTCGCAAAGAAGTAACAAAAGTGAGAGTAAGAGAGAAGGGAGGTAAAAAAAAAAAAAAAAGAAGAGAAGAGAAAAGAAAAGAGAGAGATCAATTCGGCTTACACTCTGTGAAGACAGTGAATGCGCAGTTTGGGGTGCCTGGTTCCGGAGGAGGGAATGTAAGCCGATTTATCCACTTTTTGGGGTTCAGAACAGCCACCAGTGCACCATACGAAATTTGAGAATAGGAAACGAAACAATAACAAGAGTTGTGGAAATATCAGAGAAGAACTTGAAACATCCTGGGGGAAAAAACTAATCAAAAATAAAAAGGGACCAAAACAAGATGAAGATATTGAGCAGGATGGGGCAAAGGTTTAAAAATTATAGACTAAATCAAAAAGGCAAAGAAATAAAATAAGAGGAATTTAAATGATCAAGATTCACATAACAGACTGCAGGGTTCGTCAGGGTAAGGTATTGTAAGAGCTCTTCCCTTTATTTTTCCATTCTGGATTTTTGATTTTTCAAAAATCGAAAATAAAAAAATAAATAAAAATAAAAATAAAAAAGAGAGAGAGAAGATTATTAAAAAAATCCCCTAACCCCCTTCCTGATGATGATGATGATGACGATGATGATCGAAGAGCAAGTTGGCCCAAAGAAAAATAATAACAATAATCATAAATCAAATGAAAATGACAAAAAAAAAAGGATAATAGAATATCAAAAAAAAAAAATAATAAAAATAAAATCAGACCCAAAAAAAAAGAGAGAGAGAGAAGACTGGATGCCGATGAATGGGTGGAAAGCAAGCCAAACTAGACCACAGCCGGGCATAGTGCGGGTTTACAGGGAGGAGGAAGAGACACAGACACAGTGACAAGACAACCCAGACCGTGAAGAGTGACCGGCGTGTGCGGGCGGGGCGACCCAAAAAGCGCAGGCCCGAGCAGGAGGCAGAGAGAGGGCCCAGAGGCAGAAAATGAGGATGGGTGGGGTGGGGTGCAACTAGCGATCCCAAGGAGCAGGCAAATCCGCAACTGGTTGCTAGTGGATCTCCCTCCATGAGGCCATCGCGGATCCATCACTCCCAAGGGAAAGCTCCAAAGTCTGGAGGCAACCATCTGGATGGCTTTTTCTTTTTCCTTTTCTTCTCTCTCTCTTTTTTTTCTTTTCTTTTCTTTTCTTTTTTTTTTTTTTATAAAAAAAAAAAAAGAACTGGGGCACGTCACAACTTTCATAACAAACTGGAGAAGCATACCACCAAAAAGAAAAATAAGAAATCAAAAATCAAATCAACGATCAAGTCATCGGATCATCATCTCATGGAGAATATTATTTATTCTCCTTGGAAGGAATGGTGATGAAGGGAAAAAAAATACATAAAAATCAAACAGTAACCATGCAAAATAAAACGAACACTGCAGGTTTTCACGTGGAAATTCAGGTTTAAAGGCGACAAGAACATATCAGAAAAAGAAAAAAAGAGGAAGATTTAGAGTACAGCAACCCCATACTTCCGACGATCAAATAAGAAACATCATAAAAATAACCCAGACGAATGAATTAAACGAGAAACCAACAGGGGAGTGAGATAGACTTGACTTACTCTGAAGAATCCAAAAAGGCGTGGGGATGGCAGAAGCAGGTACCCCGTTTCAAGTGTTTCGGTTTTGGTTTACTGGTAACTCCTCAACCTTAGTTCGAGGAGCAGTAATGACGTCCACTATTAGGTATTGTATCTCTTCGGCTTCGTTCTCTGGTCTCGTTCCTTTGAGTATCGCAACTCTTCTCACTCTCACACACACTCTCTCTTGTTGTAATATTATTCTTCCTTTTCTCTCCTCCTATTCTTCTTCTTTTTTTTTTCTTTTCTTTTTTCTTGTTCCCCGGTTGGAATTTGATGGTTCACGAGACAGTAAGGAATGACTCAATCAGCAAATTCCACCCGTCCAGAGAATACTGGCTTGTATTGGCCAGGGTAGCTCTCTTGAGAAAAAAGGAGGGGATGAAAGTCAAAAGAGGGGGTGTCTGTGGAAATTGACCGGCGTTCGAGTTGCTGTTAGCCGGGCACAGATTAAATAAGGAAAACTATCAACCCCAGATATATAGAAAGAAGGGGGGTGGGGGTTTATATTTTTATTTTTATTTCTTTTTTTTTTTAAAAAAAAAATTGCAAATTACGAAAAACCAAAAGGGTTTTATAAGAGAAAGGGGATCGTAAATTGGCTGCAGCAGAGAGGGATGGCTTTTCACATTTGGCCCTAGGTCGGGAATAAACTCATAGATGGGAGAAGATGAGGAGGTATGTGCGAGAGTTGCCGTGCGAAGGGAGGGGAGGAGGGGGGGAAAAGAAGGATGTGGGTTATAATGGTCGACGAATATGGGGATGTGATCTAGCAGATATGGGGATAGCGTTAAGCAAGTAGATGCATACAGTAAGTCAGTTGTTGTCTATCTTCTCGGAGAGAATCCTCTCGGTATGTCTGTCTGGCATGTATGGGGTATGGATGAATGGACGGACGGATTGATAGAGACAGACTAATCAGTAAGTAAATGGATAGAGGTATGTACATACAGAACAGCTGATCCTTAACTAACGACACTAACTAAACAATAAGGTAACCAGTAACGGTAGAAAGACTTCAAGCTAGTCAGGTAATAGTAGCGGGCAACTACCCTAGCAGCAGTCTAGTTGTGGTACAGAGCCATAGCTAGTCAAGTAATAGTCAGTCTCTGGTGCCATGGATGCCCAGGGGCACGTATTAAGGTGGAGCTGGGTGCCCATGATACTTCATAGGATGAGGAGGATTTGGTTGGGAAAAAGCAGGAGGGGGCTGTGTGTCAAACCTGCGAAAGAGAATGAGAGTCTTGTTTTTGGGGGGGTTGACTTGGTGGTGAGGAGGGGAAATTAAAAAAAAAAAAAAAAAAAAAGAAAAGGCGGGAAACATCAAAAAATGAAAAAAAAAAATCAAAGATCAAGACATTTGGGAATCAACTATGAAGTTGAATCGTGTGTTTCTTGAATTTCTTCTGATTTTAATTATTCTTTTTCTCTTGATATTGGTTAAAATTGTGATCTCTTTCCTAAGTTAATCAAGTAAATTCTTCATTCTTTGGTCATTTATTTAACCTTTACGCACCTTACAGATAGAGGAAGATAGATGGAAAGTAGATCGAACACTATAGAGAACCTATCTTGATTCTTAATCTTATTATTATTATGGTTAATCTGTATAGACTTCCATCTGGTCCCTCTGAAGGGGATCAGTCCGCTCGCGTGTACTGTACGGTACTGTACTGTACTGTACTTGTATATCAGTGTACAGGACGCACAGACAATTCCCATCGTCGTTGGTTAGGTATGTGCTGTGTACACTTGTACAGACAATACACTCGACGGTTATTGTCTAGTCTCCATCCGCCTCTTTACTCCCCTCCTCTCTTTCCCACACCAAAAAGCGCGAGAGAATCGATAAAAGGAAAAAAAAAAAAAAAAAAAAAAGGAAGGAGAACAGCACCTGGCCCGTGAACATGGACATAATTGAGGGGTTTAGCTGCAGGTGGATCCTAGCCATCCAACCACGGCTCCGCCCCTGACGAGAACTTGAGGACAGGATGATGTGCACCGGTCATCGCCTGTCGGGCAGGGCTTGGCTACGACGATGTTAACTAATAGGTAATACTAGAATGAATGTTGACTGGATAGAGAGTTCCACTCCATTTCTCTACTGCCTCACCCTGGAGTGGTTGACCCATCCGAATCGTGGGGACTGATCAACCGTCGTCATATCTCTAACATGTGTATTGAATGAAACATCAACGCCCAATCTCTGTTTCAGCGACGTGCAGAGTTCACGTGAATCGAGAGCTCCAATAGGTTGTGGGGACGGTCAAAATGGTATGGCAGATTTTCATCTCCTAGTAATTTGAAGTCCTACACTCTAGTAAGGTTTGATAAAAGAACGAGAAGGATAAGAGAGATATGACTCTCAAAAAGAAAACTAAGATAAGACGGTAAAAAAACAAAAAAAAAAAAAGAGAGAGGTCTCACGTATCGGAAGTTGTTGAACAACGGTCATCCAAAAAGGGCTCAGATCTCTTGGAAGAATACTTACACATGAGTATTATTGCATAGACTGTACTGTGACCAATGAGCATCAGAAGGAAAAAGAAAAGAGGGTCTGGAGGAAAGCTAGACTCCATTCAGGCAGCTGGAACTGGACACACTACACGCAGACTAAGGAACTAGACCTCCTCCCGAGGTCCCTGGCTGGGTGTTAAATGACGCCGCCCTACTTCGCCTATAGTCCAATCCCCATTCTCGGAAGATTTTGGAAAGGATGGCGATAGGAAGGGAGGGGGTTGGGGGCAATTCGTGGCTGTTCCAAACGGGCAAATACGGTCGGTCCGAGGCCTGGCGGCGAATAAATGATCGTGGAAGTGAGAGAGGAGTTCAGACCTACATGATTGAACGCGTGAGAGGCGTCATCCGCACAAACGGTACCTATACTAGCGTGCAGGCATACTAGTCAAAGACATCCTACGTAGATAGTCCATTCCGGATCAACATCCAGCCAATTCTTTCACTACATCCACATTCGATGGAGGATCGGCCTCGTCAGCCTCCCAGAAGACACCGCTAATGAGGGTCAGTGACGAGTAGACGGGAAGTCATTACGACCATAGTGCCCGGCACAGCGGAGACCAGTCTGGAAGAAAGGGGGACTGTGCGCAACACTCAACCCTACCCTGCATTGGGGTTTCCAAAGAGAAGATTCCTACACATCTCTCTTTGGGGATCAACATACATTAGTCCACAGCCAGTCAATCATTGTTGGGGGTGGTCTGTTCTCCTCCAAAGACTCGGGCGAAGATTTGAGCAATCCCTATCCGACGAGTAATGTCTAATCCATATTAATTGTCTTCCAAACCATATTCGTTTAGAGATTGATGTGATCTCTTTTGTTTCTATTTCTCCACTTTTTTTTTTTTTTTTTTTTATTAATTCACTCGCTGCTTTCAATTCCTTTATGGACCGATAGCCAGATTTCGGCAATCCCGGATGGATCCAGGCAAAGCGCATGTTGCCCGATGGCAAAGGGAAAAGAAAGAAAAGGAGAAGGTGTCCGTGTATGTGTGTGTCTAAAAGAAAGAATAGGAGATCCAAGTGTTTATTATGGAGGAGTTCAGTCCCTCGACCCGTACGGGGGGACACATACTAGTATTTATCCAGGGAAGCAAATAGGCAGGACTCGTACTCCGTACAGAACAACAAAAGGAAATTGAAATAATAAATCACCACTAGGGAATTGCGCCACTGTACATACAATGAGTCGAGGAGTAATAATGCCTTGTCCAATGTAGAGTTTGTAGACGGGGAGTTCGTCGCATCCGTCCCTGAAATGAGGACGAGAGCTTATACTGGATACTTTTGCCTAAAGTTTCGCGGGAGATCCTCAGTCGATCGAGGACACAGCAGGTTTAAGATCAAATTAATCCAAATGGACCATGTAAGCGGCTCTAGACGGCATAAAACTATGTGGACGGCCCCAGCAAAAGTTTCATTGCCGACCAGGACGGCAACGGGGCCAATTCTTGGTAGTAAGATTATGGAGTTCATTAAAGTTCTTTCAGCTCGGCTTGCCCACCGAAAATCTAAAAAGCAGAGCCAGGCATTTTGAGAGGTTCGGGTCCCGTTGGCAGGTCCCGACAAAGTGGGCGAACAGCAGACGATCCCAGTTGGCGCGTGCTTGTCAAAACTTAATTCGGTTATTGGAAAAAATACAAAGAAAAAATAAATAAATAAAGGAAAGAAAACAGACAGACAGGGACCAGGTCGTCCGGCTAGTGTCATCAGGCGACTTTTCATGATGTTGTCTGGAGTTGGACGCCTAGATCGTATTGCCACTTCTCCGACTAGAAGGATCTGCATGTTAGATCTAAGCGAATCTTGTCGCCATCGACCATTCTTCGGTCATGGCTTCAAAGCAGCCAAGAATGTGGGTCGTCACGAAATGAAAAGAGAAAGGGAGGGTAAGAGCCGCTTTCGACTGTTTGCGTTGAACGAGGAAATATTCAGCGAGCATCGCAAGCACATTCTCGGTCTCGGAGAATTCTCCTGCGTGTCCAAGTCCATCGTCGGCGTGGCTCTGTTTCGTATCAGGGAAGTCTTATGGATCAGTCATGCCGACCGATTGCCTGAACAGGCGTGGGCTATCAACTCAATGGGAAAATATGAGATGTAAGGCACTATCCTTATATTGCATGCAGCTGCAAAACCCAGGGGGGAGGAACACCTCGTTTATTGGTAGTGGTGCATACATAGCCTGTTGGTCAAGTGAGAACGGCATATGCAAGCTTGCAGTGCTTCGACAGGGATTAGGATGCCTTTGACAAGGGTTTGCTTAGAGGGAAACCAAGGATCTATAAACTATTATTTCCTCATGACAGCTCCGGGGGCGGAATTGAGATTGCCCTATACGGGTTATCATCGGTCATTAGGGCTTCCTTGTATTGATATGGAGAGGGGTTGTTTCTCTTTCTCTCCCCTGCATTCATACATACAAAGATGGAGTACGGAGTAAGTAAAAGACTATTTATGCATCCAGCAATACCAGACGAGGCGCGCCTCCGAGCTGACTCCGCCACGATCGAAACCCAATTGATAGGGATGCATACTAGCTACATCTTTTGGCGCTTCTAGTCCATATACATTCCATTCCATCTGGCGGGAAAAACGGAGAGTTATAGCTCGCTGTGGCGTATCAACAACCCGCCTCCAAATGATGGTTGGCGAGGATTGTGACGCCGACATTATGTAGCTGTTTGATTTCTCTGACTTTGCCCCTTCGTATTCCGTCTTCTTGGTGTTCTTTGAAAGAGCTCTGTGTCTCCCACGCCTTCTTCGTATCCTCAGACCACCACTGCTTTCAGGATTTGATCTCTCCCCATGGTACCTACTTTTATTATTATCATTATTATTATTATTTGTTTTTGTCCCTTGTTACCCTTTCAAGTGGAAACCCTTGAAATTTACTTGATGACACGTCTAGACCCGACCCAGTCCTTCCGGGCTGCAACCCGTAGATTTGGGTCCGGCAGAGGTCAACAGGTGAGACGCGCGCTCTCTGGTTGACATTCATTCACAGAGATGAATAATAGATTATTTTTAATTCCCTTTTGGCTCCATAGATGACGCTGGCAGGCGCCAAAGTGGTTATGATTGGATGGTGAGTCGGGACGGGAATTGTCAGAGCAGATGAGAAAAATGGATCAAATGTTGTGGGAGGGGCAGCGCTAGGCAGCGCAGAAATGGCAAAAGGGAAAGGGAAAAAAAAAAAAAAAAAAAGGATAGATTAAAAACCCTAGTTACCTGTGGTCCTGTGGCTATGTCCTTGACGTCTCCCACAGAAATGCCGCATTGGGTCGACAGGGTCACCCTGATCTAACGAGGCGATCATCGCGTCCCAAAGAATGTCGAACCAAAAGTGGCCCAGCATGGCAGACACGAGTTCTTTGCACCAGCACTAGTATCAGCTAGTACTAATAGGGTAATGTAGAGTAGATCATTGTAATTTTGAGGAGGTCCCCGAGAAACCCATGGAATAAATGGAACAAGAAACATTCACGGGGTAGAGATCTGCCCACTGCATGAGCGTTCAAATGGATCATTCGGGATCGTGTGGGAGGTTCAGTGAATCAAATCTCTTCCAAACAGGAAACCTGAACGGGACAAAGAGGGAAAAAAAAATTCGCCATCATGGATCACATTGCAGGAATAAAGGATGCAGGAAACCCCCAGCGTACAGGTCTTCTGCATCCCCCAAACGCAGGCCGCTCATTATAGTAAATGCCCTAAGAAGCCAAGATGAATGCGCGAGTCCTATCAGAAAACTGTGTACTCTGTACAAGTTTTCAGCACCTCATGGATCAGGTATATACTGACCTTCTCAGGCGTCATAAAATGCATGCCAATCCACGCTTCATTGGTTGAGGCGACTACCAATCCGTGTCCTAAAATTTCTCTTCTTAATTGTGAGTGGTGGTATCCAGTTTTTTATTTTCATTTTTATTTTATTCTTTCCCCCTCTCTCTTTGTTTCTATTCCCAGGACAGAAAGCACTTCGGGAGATAGAGAAGATAAGTCGACCATTACCCCCTTCAAGGGGTGACCACAGACACTAAAAGACCCGACATTCAGAGTAGTTTATCCACACAGGTCCAGTCGCCGTGCAGTCGGTGGTGGATAAGCCCTCCCATCCACGCTGATAGGTTCCCAGCTATGCTAGCATGCATGTACTAGGGATGCCCATCAGCGCCACTGGCTCGTGTAGTGATATGATTCGGTCATGGTGGGAACTCAAAAGAAAGGGCGCAACAAAAACCGAACCTGGGGAAAAAATTTTAAATAATTAAAAAAAAAAAAAAAAAAAAAAAAAAGAAGAAAAAATGATAAAAAAAAAAATAAAAAAAAAAAAAAAAAAAAAAAGGGAGTTGTCTCTGTCATGGCGTCGGGTTGATGATTGGTGAGACCAATTTCATTATCGCCTTACTTGCTCACTTAGGGCATAGATACTACTAGCTATTGGACTACTACTCCTGCTACTACGTACTCATCGCTCACCCGCCCCTCTCTCCTCTCGCCATGTATATCCACCCTGAGGACCCCCCTCCCGCACTACTCCGTACTGACTTCGAACAACAATGTGGACAGGAACATGGGCTTGGCATAGATCCGGCCGAAAATCGGGAGGGAGTTTCATGGCTCTGGAAATTACCAGTTGAAAACCAAACCCAAAGAAAAAATTGGGAACTGAGCGAGGATGCACAAGTTACTGGGTCAGTGAAGTGCCCCCTTGTGGATGGCTGGAAATCAAATCCATATGGGGCCGGCGAATTAGACGAGCGACCATGCTAATCATTCCCTTCTTTTTCGTGTCCATGGTCTCCAATAACAACGATCGGTCGGGCGCTCCCATCTGATGGGACCCAAATCCGACGAGGGCTCCACCGATAGCAATAGTTCCGGATAGCGTTTGTCTGGGCTAAGCATCGATGCGGAGAAAAAACTAATTTGGGTACTTACATATCCATCCTGCTGTAGCTTTTCCATCTGAGGCTAGTCAGAGGATCCAATGGCTCAGCAATTATCGACTGGTGATGTTTTGGCCTAAGATGGAGATCTCCATCGTTAGTGTCGAACATGTACCAAGTCTTGGTCGCCTATCTTCGGCAGTCCTCTCGACAGCTCTCTGATAGAGTCATCGTACAGGTACAGTGGATAGATGGGAGAGGAAGAGAAATAAGGACACGGGCTTCCTCGGAGAACAAGAAGAAGAACTTTCCATCAATGAGATGGAAGAAAGGGAAACATCAGGACGCAAGGCAACTGAAGAGCTATTGCAGTCAATCCCCCACACATCGAAGATATCGGTTGTTTAGTTGCATGCTGTCAGTTCCGAAGCTTATGGACTCGTCGTCATGGATCTTTCAATCCCGACCTGACCTGTCTGATTTGATTTCACCGGCTGTTATGCCGTGGTTCTAGCCTTGTGGGAAGGAAACCACGCTAAACGTACATACAGGTAACTAACATCGCGAAGGGTTTCACGGCGTCAACCGATTGACAGGAGAGAAGAAATTCATCACCATCATCTGTACGACTGCCTCCTGCATCATGTGAAGGGAAAGAACCGCTCTGTACGACGATTATCAGCCATTGTCCGAGTTGAACCGGACTTGCTATAGGTTTATCACCAGTGTCATGCAAGGTGTGATTCTTCTTCTGCTGTAGATCACTCAACAATAGCCATGTATTAGTATGATTCCTATTAACTTAGTTCGATTATTTGTATTATTCCAGTAAGCTCCCTCCGAGATCCGACGAGATTCGGTCTATGCTACACTCCGCAAAATATATACATTCCGACCGGACACACAAACATCCAATTGACTGATCGACCCAGTTCGGGTTTTCTTTGTCCTTGATCCATTCTTATGCACCGATTGGGTACCCAATGCGATATATCATCATCTTGCTGATAACCATGTGGCTCGACACGATTCAACTACTATTGACCGCTAACTTCGTACATGCACCAGGACCAATCTGGATAATCGAACTAGTGGGTTGGCGAGTTTGATCGTTGATCATCATTAGATTCTCAACGATGATTGATTGTATGACCATCCCTGCTCTCCATATGCTATGCTGATCCCTTCGATCGAATTCAAGCTCGAACGGGATTTGCAACGATGCCTTTCTCTTCCTCTAGAGAATATCAATTCAACAAGAAAATATATATATATATATATATATCTATATATATAAATAAAAGAATACCAGATCACTCTCCTTATCAAGCGTCGACTCTATCGGTAACACTAGGAGGGTACAGACGTAAGAACTGGCTTCTAGATCCTTCCTCTGTCCAGTCTAGTAAGCAACCCCTTGCTTGTCGCTTGAGTAGTTTACTTCAGAATTTCTTTTTCTCTCGTTTTTTTAATTTCCCTTGCTATCTGAGCTTTCTTGTTGACAGCTCTTCCCCCCCCCCTTATTCTCCTTCTTCTTTTTTTTTTTTTTTTGTACTAATTTCTCTCATCCCCACCACGCCACCATCTCCCCTTTCTTGTTCTGTTCCTACTTTCAACCCCCTTAATAATAGAATTTCCAACGCCTTGTCAAACTTTATCTGAGCAACAGCCTCCACGGATGGTGTAAGAAATATACCATGTCCGCATGTAGAGAGAATCCAAATCAAAATAAATAAATTTATTTCCAAAACCAAGACCGGATTTTTATCCCCCACATCCTGACAGGGATCAAGTTTCAGATGATCATAAAAACGTGGCTCTGGCATCTGCGCGTGTCCTGAAGTTGCTTTTTTCGGAAATTTCTTCGATGGCCCTTCGACGCAGGAAAATGAACTCTTATCTCGAACCTCATACCAGCCATCGGTCTCTCGGTGCTCTTCATGATGGCTGGTTCACTAGTTCCATCCGAAAGAGAAGAAACGGAGTCATACCAAACCACTAGCCTTGTCAAACATCTCGAACCAGGCGGCATTAAAAGCGTTGAACTCCTCGGTGTCCTGCCCTAACAGGCAGGAGAGTAAAAGTAGTCGCAAATGAAGGCAACCACACCTCATCCGATGTGGTTGGAAACAGGTAAAGAGGCGCGAAGCTATCCAGAGCAAGGCATAGTCTGGACTACTACTAGGTAATAGCATACCAGCCAGATACGTCTACTAGAACCTCACTAGTTTCCTGACGAGTATGACCTACTCTAGAATACTTGTCGTTGGGTTCGGACATGACGAAAGAATTGGGGGCTGGTGCTGACAATGACTTGCCACTAAATCGTTATGGTCGCGCTACGAGGCGGATCTGCATAACTGCTGAGTTACAAGGAAATGTAACGCGGCTAAGTGGGCCATTGAGAGAGAGGCTGACTCGGAGGTTGTCGCTTGATCATTCCTGCCTTAAGTCGTTTCAACCCCTGGCTTCATTCAATACAATCGATTTCCTCTGAGTTGGGCATATCAAGGAAGAGCCGTGGGAAATTTACCAACTTTCAAGATTTTTGAAACGCGAGTACGAAATTGATCCAACGTTTTATTCAATTATGTTTTATCGTATCTTTAAATAGAAGGCAACTTTTTTTTTAAAAAAAAAAAAGAAAAAAAAAAAGGAATTCTCAGACAAATCTACGGTGCTTGGCAAGGATCACAGCTATCATGGTCTCTATGAATACCATCTATGAACCGATCAAGTTGTCTAGCTAGAAATGGAATATGAAGACTGGAGACTCGGTGTGGACTAAAAAAACCGACTCACTAACTCCTTCTCCAGTTTGGGGGGAACAACAATTAATGCAAGGGGGGAACAAGAACAGACCGCTTTTAAACGCCTTGAACGAAGTCAATCTCGCTCGGACCCGACAGCATTCTTCAGATTTGGATCGTCGTGTCATAGATCATCAATTCAATACCTGACGATCAGAGTCGATGATATCACTCTCGGTATCCCTTTCCCACCCCCAACCGGGCTGAAGGATATCTTCCGTCCTGTGTGTATACCCAACAAATACGATCTCCTGTCACGCGCACTGATATCGTTCCCTGTGCGAGGAAAGCAAGGCTACACAATTGGACTTCGCGTCTATTCAATTGGTGGCGTTCTGGTTTTGCCCACATACTGGGGATTACGTTGATGTTACATTCCACATCTGCCAGTATGCCCGATGCCCATGTCACTCACATGGCAATTTGATGAAGTCTAATGGCTCGTGTGTGTGTGTGTCTGTGTTGGGATCAACATTTCCCATCTGCCTTGGGCATGCCGGGGCCTACGTGTACTTGCAGCACTGACCTGGGAAGTCGGTCTCTGTGCGTTTTATGTAATGCCGAGAAGAGATGCATGCTGCATTATCCCTATGTGTATCCCGTCCTTGGATCATCTTGCATCGAGGTACTGTCCACTTGTTTGGAATAACCAGGTCAGGTGAGACTGAACTGCTTCTAACTACGTGGATTTGGCCGACTCTCCCAAGCCGAACAACCCCATGTTCCCGGGTGTCGTTGCAGGGATGGTTTACGGGAGAACCTCATTTTCTCCCAGCCGAGCGACAATAGGGGTTATTGTAATCATCCGTGGGCTGGATAACAGGTTTTGAACCAATAAAACAATGCATGCAATCTATGTAGCTTAACCGAATCGAATGTCTCAACACAAGCTCTTATATCCTTATTGACAAATGGTATTGCATTAGACACGTAGTCTTCCCTTAATAGGTCAGCTATTCATTAACCTACTCCCGTAGAACCCAGGAAGTGAGTCTGATACAATCTGTGGGCTTTCTTTTCTCCGTTCACCATGTTCTCACCATACTTATTTATTGATCTATCATCTACATTCTCCTAGCATTGGAAAGTACACGGTATGATTTGAGTATATGTCTATCTACATCCTCTAAAACAGATGCTTAGAATCTCTCCGAGACATGTAAATACATACATATATATGTATACACATTCATACTCTGCTATACCAATAGCACACGTAGCATCTGCCAAACCACATTGTCGTAATCAGTAACAGACAACAGTATCATTATAGGACAAGACACATCTTGTAAAACTCTACAATAGCCATCAATTTGACCACAAGTATCCATGCTGCTAGTCTGAAGCTGGAGATGGATACCATTGCATCCAAGCTGATGGGCATTTACATACCAGTTCCCTCTGTAACCGTACCTCCAATTGTTTCGTAGCTGCTCGTACATACTGAATACCGTTTGTCCATATCGATTCCTTCATTATTGAGAATGGTGTTATTGCCTATTAGTAACAGACAGTTCAAAACCTTGGAATACTGTAGTCCTTACATCGGGTTCCTACAGAGACATAGCCATGCTTAGTGTATATATATAGTTCATTAACAGGCTGAAAAGAACCTTGAATATTCTCTAAAATCAATTCTAGATATGGTTTTGTGAAGGAGAGGCTTTGACAAAGAAGAGGAATCATGTCATCTGTTCTCAGCTGGAAGTAATCATTCTATTTAGAACCTTCATGAAGACTATGAGAGCTATATCCTGCCCTTTCTCAATCGGTGTAGTCCGTATTATTAGCTGGTGAGTTTAGTTATCTCATTATAGCTGCGCATAAATTGACATAGACTAGGGTATTGCAGTATGGTTTGCTCTACTACGCAAGCTTTACGCTTGGTATGTTCTTCTACTGGGTGGGCTTTGATGCTTTCCTGCACCCCTGCTGTACTGATCTCCTTACATTTACCGGGAATATACCTGAAGTTGGTAAAAGACGTGCATATAGAAAACTAGGTCTGGGGACTGTGAATGGTACGGGCGTTATATTCTCAATTTCCTTTCCTTCTGAGCATGATAGCATCCCCCAGGCCAAATCGCAAATATAGATAGTCTTTACACTCAGACGATTCATCCGATACTATATATATCTCACACTACAATCCACTCAACTCCCTGCAGCCGAGCTCCAAAATTGTCAGATTTCTTTGGACCAGGAATGAAGTGAACTGTATGTTGAAGGAATATCCACCTCACGTGGTGGGACCAACTTCACCCTCGCATCGAAAATCTTTTGATTTTTCCTACGCGTGCCACTTGCACCACAGACCGGACTATCTGGGGTGCATTTGTTGTCTGCTTTCTGGTTATAAATCAGCTATTGCACACAGCTAGATTTTGAAAGCACGATGAAGCTACCACCGTACTTCTCGGTGATACCACCCTTGCATATAACGCTGAACCGCTAAGGTGTCTATACACTAATTTGTGTTAGTTTAGTCGCGTATAAGTAATGATGGTATGATGGTACGTGCATCATCCTTGACAAGCTTGATGCCCATCTTAGGACTATAGTCCGACTAATTGTCTATTGATTGGACGGAAGTGATGATGTTTGTTATGTAGGGGCCGGAATAACGTAAATCTATGGCGGGCTTTTGGGGCTTAGAGAGTTTCTAGAACCACCCGGGGAGACTGCTACCGAATTATATTTTTCTAACTCAGAAGATGTGCACGAGCTATTGTTATAGTCTTTGAAGCAGTAGTATAGAAGCAAACCTGGGCCACTGATAGTGGGAAATGATAATGATTGTTGTGCGAGGGGGCTTCGAAGTAGTGGTGATAGTTGGGTTGCTCTTGTTGCCGGTCCCTTACCGATGGCTTTCTATTTATTGCCGGATCTGAGCGTTGGAATGAGGCCATTGGAACCCCATTTCTCAGTTGGTCTGGCACTTACGATAGTCGAACAGACATTTGTGGTCGTTTCTGTGGCGGTTGTCGATACTTGATTTCGCAGTGTAGGACGGCTGAATATTCGGTCGTGAAACATGTCGCGCGTGAAGTGTTTGAAGTGGCTTGTGACGAAAAATCCTATTGCGTGAATCAGTTGCGGTTATGCTCGTTGCGCATGTGGTTGGTTTCGTTGTGGTTGTGGACTTGTATCTCTCCCTCCAATACAATATTCAGGGTCGAAGTATTGACGGCCATTGCCACTGCAACTGCTGCAGCTAGGGTATGATAATTATATGCACTTCTGGCATAATTACTACACTTGAAGAAGTGTGTGCACAGGATAATTCTAAAAGGACCGAACAACGGTATCCTGGACAAAGATATACAGTCTCGTTGTATTTACTGCAGTCATCTCTAGAGCACATGCCATTCTTGTAGTTCTAGCCCACGCAATTTCTGAGAAATATTAATGTGTTCTGAAGTTCTGGTAAACGCCCCTCCCGCTATTAAGGTGCAGTCTTCCAATTTGTCCCAATAAAGCACGTTGTGATCTATGATAGAATCAGTATAGGCGCTAGTAGGAGGCTCCTATAACTTGTCGAAACAGGTTGTTGTAGTAGCTTTGACGACCACATCTTGGGGAGCCCCGGTAGTTTGGGGATGTGCTTTACGGATAGAGCCGATGTCCAGTCTCCTTTGATGTCAAAACCGGTGCTAGCGCGTATTCTGACCTCGTAGACCTGACCGTCGAGTCCTCTCTTGTGGATTGATCTTTCCTGAGGAGAGTTTAGAGATACCACCTCGATTCCGAGATGAGATGTCACAGTCATACGCTCCATAACTATCGACGTGTACTAGCGTCAGCTATAGGATCACCTCATCCTGCTGCAGGGACCTACCAAGATCAAACATAGCCGTAACTCTCGCGGCACCGATAAAGACTGGGAGCTTAGATAGCACGGAGAATGGTCTACCAAGAATGCAACTGGGATGGACAATGGAGGGCTTCTAACCTTGAAATCATTCACAAGAGTAAGACTGAACACGCGAACAATGTGGTCCTCGCCTATGGCATTGCGATGTAGTCATTAATAGCCTACTAGATATTTGATAGGTCCGCAGTCGTTGGCTCCCTGTAACTCAACGAGATAAAGAAAAGAAGGACCGGTGCCGCTTCACCCTGGAATCGCGTCACGTAAAAGCGCGTTAGAGAGGTTGAAATTGTCAGAGAAGGCTGCGAACAGACATGATCGTGCGATCATAAATCTGATCAATCAAACTCCAACATGAATCCATACATTCAGGACATAGCTTGCTTTTCTCTGCTCTGGGAGAATATAATTTACATCCAAATCAGAGGAATACCATTAGCTAAGGCCCAAGAACATTGAAAATGACCAAAAGAAAATCATCGATTTGAAATCACAGGGGTAAGATTAGTCCCTCGGATAACGGTACATGCACTAAAACGTGCCATTATCAGGGAAAGGCCGCTGATTCTCCACTGCCCTAAAAGCGTTCCAGTGCAAGCTTAAAGAGCTGAAATCATTTTAATAGCAAAGGGGATTCTATCGGGAATTCGGCATCAATGTACAGTAGAGTACCTACTAGGTAAATGACAATGTCATTTATCTGCTGTCATATATACTGTACATACAGTACATACGGTATTACACACATATAGCCCATACTTATAAGTTATACCCCTAAGCATATCAAGAGAAACCAGTGTCATCGGATAAGCATGGATACTATAATAAGACATCTAGAGAGCACGGAGCATACGAAACTCGGCAAACAAGTCTGAAAAAGAAAAAAAGGAAAAAAAAGAAGGTAAAGGGAACAATCAGCATTTCCAGTTGTGAAAATAAGAGTAGAGTTGGTTGTTATTGAGGCTTAGTCACTGATGTTGGAGTTGTCCGGATATTTTTCCCGTCTTGGCGTTATTTAATCCCAACTTCCATCTTATCTGATTTTTATTATCTTTGCATCTGTGGTTCATTGTCTTATCTGATCTTACCATTTCTAGTGTTTAGTTATTAAGGAACTTGATACCCAACCTAAGTTGGATTCTCTGAGCTGCATAGCGGTATCTGCGAGAGAGTGTGGTCATGCAGCTGAAGTTACCAAATGCGTTGGCCAAGGGCCAGCCGGGGATTTTGCATCAATATGTATGTCATTGTCCGTGGCTGGGTTCCTTATTTATGGCTAATACCAGTATCCCACCTAGGCTGAGAGGCTAGTTGCCTTCGAGTTCACAAGGGGAAATCAAAGGAAGCCGCACAGTCTCATTTTCATCGGGGGTTTATCAGATGGACTTTGGACCGTTGATTATATGACGGACTTGGTCGCGGCGCTGCAACACAGCGAATGGTCCGTTTTCTCGCTGGTCTTGTCTTCTTCTTACAATGGGTGGGGTGTAGGTCGTCTGGGGAAAGACGTCGATGAGATTGCGCAGTGTGTTCAGTACGTGCGTGACTATAAGAAACAGCTCTTTGGGGCCGGAAAGGTAGTCATCATGGGCCATTCGACGGGGAGTCAAGATGTGATGCATTACCTTAGCTGTCCGAACCCAAGGCCTAGACATCCAGTTCTGGATAGGGAAATTGAACCATTGACGAGGACGCCTGTCGATGGTGCGATTATGCAGGCACCTGTCTCGGACAGGGAAAGTATTCTCAGCGTCTTGAATGATGGGACGGAAAGAGATAGCCCAGAAGTAATGCAAGAGCTTTACCGTAAAGCGGTTGCAGGTGCGAAGAAGAATACCTACGAAGATGACGATACAGTTGAAACTATCGTCCCGCTTTCAGTGACCGCCAGAATCGGATACCCATCATCTACAGCTGTGAGCAGTCGCCGGTTCCTTAGCCTGGCTAGCCCTGATAGCCCACAAAAGCCTGATGAGGACGACCTGTTTAGTTCGGATCTGAGTGATGAACAGCTTCAACAGACATTTGGTGTCATTGTGCCCCGTGGGCTTCTAAAATCTAAGCTTATGGTGTTGTACTCGGGCAGAGATCAGTCTGTGCCACCGTGGGTGAACAAGGAGGCTTTGTTGAAACGCTGGTCCACCGCAGCGGGACAGTCCTGGCACCCGAAGAGTATGATTATCCCCAATGCTTCACATGCGCTAAGTGACCCCGATCAAGCGGAGCCAAGACGCATTCTGGCTGAGAGGGTCATCGGATATTTGGACGAATTGGCGGAGCAAATTTAGAGCCCTGAACTGCTCCTAGTATAGAAACGTGAATATACTGTCTGGGTATAATTCGACACAGGGTCATGTACTAGGTTTGTAGCATGGGCGGCGTGATGCTGTATATATGTATCATTTGATGAAAAAAAAAAAAGCAATTAGTCCAGTCAATGCCATGAATATACTAGATTTGTACCCATTGACCTACGACTACGTGTCTCTTAGTATGTCCTTCTACGCAAAGGTTAAGAATATTCTATCAGCAAGATGGCTGAACGGTCTAAGGCACGGTTTGGGTTAACTTAACTACCAGAGCTTCAACTTTGCATATAAAAAATACAAGCATGCGCTAACCATGCCTTTCTGATCAACATGAACGTATCGCTTTAAATAGAAAAGCGCCAGTATTTTCGGCATAAAACTCAGTTCACATCGGGTAATATATAATATAACCTTCCTGAATATAGTTATTCTTGGTGTGGTAGTGGCTAAAGGATCGGGTTTGCATTGAACAAAGCTCATCACTCCTCTTGTAAATTTAGTCAAAGTTAGACCCAAACAGTTGGTAACATCTGCTGATAAGAGCTCTGTACCTCAAGTCTTCATCTTATTATACTACGACTTACTTATAAAAAAGGTTTACTAGGATCCATAACTGGGAAACATACAAAGCCTTTCATTGGATAATTATCGTCAACAGTAACATGAAACGAGGCTCACATGTAGTGTTTACAGATAGACTATCATAAGTAATCGAGTACAGCGTTATCCATGATGCTCTCAAGGAACTCACAGTGATATGTATAATAGTAGCTATCAACCTTTCTAATTCTATGATCCTGATCAGTTTCTAGTATCCTACATGTCCAGAAGAGCACTACTATTAATCTAGGCTGCGATCCGCCAACACTAGATACCAACGTGTAAAGGCATTGTAAGATCTACTGTTTAGAAGCTGGCTTCTACTTTTTATGCTGCTATCATCTTTCTGGTAGCTTAAATATTATTGTCTTAGTATCTTCTGTTTTTATTTGTATCCTTGAGTATTTATTATTTTTATCTTTTTCTTCTACATAGTGTTGGCAGACGCGATTTGCCTGATAGATATCTGCTCCTTTGCTATTCGCTTTTCCTTAAGTCTATATTATGACCGTGGTTCTCATTCCATGATTAAGTAATATATGTTAAATATAAATAACCGTCTCTTCCGAGCCTAGCGAGCTCTGTCAGATTGACATCGCCGACCTTTAGGAAGCAACGAGGTTTGGTAAATGAAGTGAATGTATCAGATTTTTAGTTTTCCGAATCTGCGCTATCACACTTATGCATGTATATCTCAAATGCTCCAAAACCAAACCATTATGCCCGCAAAGGCCCATAATTCGCCTCCTTGTGACAGTAATTGGGCAT